AGTTGTACCCCCCTTGTGAGTTTCAGAATATTTGCTGGTGTGCTAAGGAGGGAGGGAGCAGATACAATTTTTTAGACTTAAGGAGCATTTAGTTTTTTGCTATATTTTCCAGGAGAAATAGAGCTTTTTCACATGGAGCATTTATACCAATGCTACTATCGCCTCTCTGCTGTTGTTTCCCATGATGTCCTCCTTGGCAGCTGAGTTCAGCCCTGCCCACCCCCAGCTTTGTTCTGGAAGTCCAGATAAACAACATATGCACTGCGGTTTCATCAAAGGAGTCCTTTAGAGCAGTGCCCCCCAACATTTTGTGCACCAGGAACCGGTTCATTGGAGAGAGGTTTTTCCACGGACCGGAGGGGGGTTAGTTTTGCATAATGCCTGCATCCTGTGGATGGGGCTTTGCTTGTTTGCATGGACCAGTTGCTGGCAAGCCGCGGACCAGTGCCAGAGTTGGGGACTCTTCCTTTAGAGATTTTGTATTCTAGATCCTGTGCAAACTGTTTAAGGCAGGAGTGCAAGATGTCCCGGAAACATTTCCAGTCCTTCTCAGCATTTTCCTATATTTGCAGCTCTGAGAGTTGATTGTCAAGATCTTTTACTAATGAAGCTACCACGTCGGGGTTTTCCAGTGTACTGACGTTGATCTTTTTCATCACAACTCTGTTTCCCTGTGGACGATTCTTTGGCTTGATGTGAATATTTAACTTGGAAATGATGAGTCTATGGTCAGTCCAACAGTCAGCACTCGGCATGGCCTTAGTTACTCCTGGTACCGTTTTGATTGTAGCGTAGTTCCAGATCATTGTAGAAAAATGAGAATAGTTTCTCCTAACCTACCAAACAGTAGTTCAAAGGATAATTGCCCTGTATCTTCTTATATAGATATGTGGTCCTTCTTTGGCCTTATTTCATGAGCAATAATTTCTAAGTCATTATTTGATCTGCTTGATGAGAGTTTGAGATCAATCCTATGTCAGATGATTGCATACACTTTTCATGAGTCATGAAATTCATTTTCACTCAGTCCTGTTGGGTCCATTGAACTGTTTAGTACACCCGAAGAGCACATTTCTCTAGGTGTTGCATTCAGTGGTTTGTTCATTCAGTTGGAATGTAGATTGCTAGCCTTGGTAAGTGCTATTCATTTTATTCAGTACTGGTTTTTTAGTGTATGGTTTTATGGTGGAATTGGATGTATTTCTTCTAAATCAAGGGTGGGCAACTATGGTCCCTTTTTGACCTGTGGACTTCAACTCCCAGAATTCCTCAGGGCCATAGTTGCCCATTCTGTTCTACATAAATATCTGCATTTTTGTTTGTTTTTACCTGAATTTAAGCCACCCACCATCAATGTTTGGGATTGCCTATAAATAGCTGAATAGCCTTTTCAGTTATCTACCAATATGTTTGTGCTCTTTTCTATTCTGTGGCTACACTACATATGACTTGCAATTTTCCTACCACTTAATTTACCACCATTGGTTTCCACACCCACATGTTTGAGCCCTTTCAATTTTGTTCCACTATTGGAATACCTTAATGGCTTGGATCTTGAATTCATTATATTGCCTCTTATTTCATCTCCATTGTATGTGCTAGCGTTTGTATCTATCTACTAGCGGTTAGAAGATTACATGTCAAATCTTCTCATTAACAACCTGGGCTGGTGATTTTTTTCCCCCTCAACTCATGTGGTTTGTTTCTGTAGCTCAGCCAGTTTAAATGCATGCCTTGACTCTTGATTGCTATTTTTTTTTGGCCTTTTCTCATTGTGGTTTTTCATAATCTGTACAGTATTTCAACTAACAGTTTTATTAAGGGAAGTAATGGTATATGGATATATGCTTGGCAAATACTGAAAATGCAGCTAATGTATCTTGGGAGCTGTTGTAGATTACAAACTCACCATACTGTACAACCTGTGTCTACTTAGTTTGCCTTTAGTGGCCTTATACAATGTTCCTCAATGAACAAATAGGTGTTTTGTTGCTGTGTAAGCACGTCAGCTGACTCTTATGTACTTTTGTAGCATATCAGAAATGTATTTGGCACTTTGATTTTTATGTTGCGCCAAACACATATTGGTGCATCTGGATACCATTGGTTCCATCTGAGCACGCATGCTTATTTCATAGAATAAGCATGTTGGAATGTCCTACATCAATCTTCATTTATGTATCTAAAATAATTTATTCTTCTTGGAGGAAAAGTTACTCCTTTTCTACTGTTAATTCTTTGATATCTCAGAAGTCTTTAATTTCCTATTGTTCTGAAAACCTAGTTTTGAGCCAACTGATTTTTATCATCTCAGCAGACCTTTAGCTTGGCTTATTTCCACCAGTTTTTTTTCCAACGATTTGGCCATTTGGAAGTAACTGCTATTCTAGACTTATTCTAGTGTTCTTTTCTACTTAAGGTAGCCAAATGGAACTGGACAGCTACAAAAACAAGCCTCTTGTCATGTAACAAATCAAAGGCCAATTCATACTGTATTTTTAAGGACTCCCTTGAACTGATCTTGTCTTCGAGGCAAGAAGGGCCACGTTCATATAGTTTTCTCGGCACAATACAAAAGTGGTTTGCACTGTCTTGCTCTGTGATCATTATTCCAGTTGTCTGCAACAAATCCAATATTGACTAACAACCTTCTAATTTAGCTCACATCTTGGGATTTCCTAATGTTATTCAGGAAACTAAACGCAAAATTAGCAGCAGAAGATTATGAGCAGAACCACTACCATTACCTCCTCCTCCTCCTCTGAGACCTAACAAGATTGGCAAACAGTGCCACCTCTGTGACTACATGTTTGAAATAGATCAAATGTACATTGTGGAATGGTATCCTAGGCCAGTGGTGGCGAACCTATGGCACGAGTGCCAGAGGCGGCACTCAGAGCCCTCTCTGTGGGCACTCACATCCTCACCCCAGCCTTACCTCCCCCATGGCCCCCTCCTCATCAGCAGCCCCCCCAGAGGAGCGACGCCCCTGAGCACAGCCGGCGCGGAGCAGCACAGCCAAGGACATGGCAGCCAGGCAGCAGGGATAAGACTCCGCCCTTGTGCCCCATTGCGTGCAGATGATGCTGTGGGGTGCTGGCGGAGGGCATGGCCACCATGGCGCTGCTGGGCCACCTGGGCAATCTGCAGCGGGCCGTGGAGGCAGTGGGTGGCTCTGCGGGCGGGTGGGGCTGGGCTGGGCTGGGGGCGGAGCGGGGCAGAGAGGGTGGGATGGGGCAGAGCGGGAGTGGAGTGGGGGCAGGTGGGACCGGTTTTGGGGCACTCGGTCTCTAAAAGGTTCGCCATCACTGTCCTAGGCAGTAAATGATTGGCAAACCTTGCAATGGGTCCCTTGCTCACAGGAAAGACATGTAGGTTGAATGAAGTTGAATGCTGGGTAGCTGCTGTGAAATGCAAACACCAATAAAGCACCTACCAGATCAGTTATCCAGGTAGTATTTCTTATCAATATATTTCATAAGAACAGATATTTCGGTAAAGAACCGAGGAAATGAATAAAAAGTTGGAGCATATATTCAAAAAATGTGCAACATTTTTGTAGTGTCACTATCACCTAAAAATCTGAATCTGGAAAAGGGAGGATGTGAGACTGAGGTTAGGAATTTGAAGGCTGGAAGATTCTGTTGGCCAAAAAGATGTCTCATTTGGACCGTCGAAAAAGATCTGTATGATATGTTATGCAGTAGATACACAAAACATTTTATGTTTGTATTTAGGGGAGAGATCCACAGGAGCAGTTCTGATATGGACAGTTTGAAATCCCGGGGGCTGAAATTACCTAAAACTATGTAGAGTAATTAGAAATTTGCAGATTTTTAAGATCTTTAATAAGAAATAATTCAAAGCAATCAGCACTGGAACTGGTTATGTCGTATTATATTTTCTTATTTTCATTACAGCAGTGTAAAAATGGGCAATTATGCAGTTAATGGTAGGTTTCATGTCTTCTGAGAGAAGATTCATGTGGAAATATGGGATCTTCCTGGGGATCTATTTATTAGGGGCAACTTAAATAGACCTAATATCCCTGTAAAATGTATGGTGTAATAATTTGTGCAAAATGGTTTATCTTTCTTTGTTACCACACAGGTAGATGCGCTTGATTTAATGGAATTTTAGATACCTGCCTTTCTGTGTGGGTTGTAAGCTAATTGTGCCTGACTTTAAAGAATGCAGTTCTCAGTCTGGGGAAAATAAGATTCTGTAAATATTGTTCCCAAACGCCCTGATTTATCCAATTTCTGCCATGTAGAGGCAGCTTATTAATTTGTTAACTCCATATCTTGTATGAGCAATTGCTTAGCTTGGTCATTTCCTAGGGAGATTAGGAATGGTGTAGAAAACTCATATAATGCTAACTCCTGCTGCATAATCTGTTGCTTGGAGAAGGGAAGTTATCTGTGAAAATTAAAGAGATCGGTCCAGCTGGGAAAAAAATGGATTTACAACCAGGAGCTTATCCCCATCTTCCAGGCCCTTACCTGGATTTTGGACACTCCTCTCTCAACTCTTAATTGGACATTTGAAGGTCCATTCAGTGTAGTGAGAACTCAAAAAAATGTGTTTGCATTGATTCCAGCACATTTTTTGCATAAATTCTTACTTCTGCGCTGCAGCAGATTTGGCTTCAGAGTTTGGTGTCACAGGGGATCATTATATCTTCATCTGTGTAACAAAAAATGTTTAATAGCATTTGGGGTTCTTAGGGTTAACTGTACTATGTGATGTGCATTCCAGGTGTCTCTGACACCCTGGAGTATTTAAAAGCAGCAACCTGCTCTATTTGTATCCTTCTGCTTTCCAGAGCAGAATTTCTCTGTTTTCATTCAAGATCCCCATGTTAGCAGTTCCTTCTTCAATTAATGAATACTACAGTTTTGAAAAGTTGGTTCTTCAGTGTGGACGCAGAAAGAATGCATCAGAGTAACTGTTTACTTGTGTGCTTGTGTGTTTTTTACATTTTTTTTTAAGAAAAGAAAGTGCCAAACAGACCTTTGAGAACACGCTTCCGTTCATCATCTGGCAGGTCGCCCATTCAGTGGAGACCATCCCATTCGGCAAACTCGAGCCCACGGAGATATCCAGGTTATCTTCGTGGATATTGGGAGAGCAACAGAAAAATGAGTTTTAAATCTCTGCCAAAAGAAGAAAGAGCCCATTATGCTAAAAAAATAGGTAAGTGTGTATCTAGTGAAAGTTTTTGATCATCTGCTTATTGTTCTCGCTGTTATGTTGTTTTATGTGCTATGAAAAATCATTTGATCTCTTCTCCTTTTTAATGTGTTTGTTATTTCATTCACCAGAATGAATGATTATATCATTCGTTATCAATCATAAAATTGATTATAGTAGTTCTAAACTGCGAAGAACAAAGTCAAGCCAAAGTTCACCCATGGCCACCAAGAAATAAAATAACAATTGTATGTTATAAAAAAGAGGAAATATGATGGAGCACTCAGAAAGAAAGGCACATACATTGCTAATAAAAGACTTGATTAAAATTGCAGTGACTTCAAAAAAGAGGTATTTTTGCAACGTTACAATTAAGTGGAACATTTGCAACCCAAGTTTATTTCACTTCTAACTTACCTACATCAGAAATAAATTCTGACATATATTGCTAGCTATTTATTAAATTAATTAATTAGTTGGGTGGGGTTGATGGTATTCATATCAGAACAATTTAAATAAATGAAGCTTCAGGTTGAGGCAATTTTTTTCCTCTTTTTTTAGTTGTCAGTGTCTCACCCCTTTTTAATGTGCATCGCTTGAATTGCACACATATAAATAGGGGCAGATCTGAGATCTAGTTACACCTGCCATTTTGATATTGTTTCACCCTTGCTATGGAGACCCCTGGCCACCATAGCTGACAACATTGGTACTAGTGCTTGTTCTGACTGCGGTGGTTGTCAAGGGCAATCAGTTACAATTCTTTGAAATGGAGGCTTTCGTTCTTAACAAGCCAAGCACTGTTGACTTTTAATCTTTGCAGTAATGAAATGTATTAAAATAGTATATGTGTTTCCTGTTGTTGTATGCAGCATCTGAATCAGTATATCTGGTTTCACCGCATTCAAGAAACTTTCAAGGGCGGACGCAACCAGTACATCAGGTTGTATTAACCAAGAGGAAAGTCCCAGGTCAGTTTTGAAATCAGTGTGCAAACTGGCAAGACATATTATTGCATACTGACTTTTTTTTTTTTTGCTAGAAAGTAAAATTTGGCTACAAAGTGAAAATTAACAGAGGGCTAGAATCAAGAACATGTGAAGTGTTAATACCACTTTACAATGCCTTGGTAAGACCACACTTGGACTACTGCAGCCAGTTTTGGTCGCCTTGATGTAAAATAGAAGTTGAGACTCTACAAAGAGTGCAGAGAAGAGCAACAAAGATGATCAGGAGACTGGAGGCTAAAACATATAAGGAACGGTTGCTGGAATTGGGTATGTCTAGTTTAATGAAGAGAAGGACGGGGTGGGGGACATGATAGCAGTGTTCCAATATCTCAGGGGCTGCCACAAAGAAGAGGGAGTCAAGCTATTCTCCAAAGCACCTGAAGGAAGGACAAGAAGCAGTGGATGAAAACTAATCAAGGGGAGAATCAGTCTAAAACTAAGGAAAAATTTCCTGACAGTTAGAATAATTAATCAGTGGAATGTCTTGCCTCCAGAAGCGGTGAATGCTCCAACACTGGAAGTTTTTAAGAAGAGACTGGATGGTCATTTGACTGAAATGGGGTAGGGTTTCCTGCCAGAGCAGGGGGTAGGACCAGATGACCTCCAAGGTCCCTTCCAACTCCGTTATTCTGTTATAATTAATACAAGGGAAGACAATCTAGTGCTTTCATATATTTTAGACCACAAATCCCACAATCTCTTAGCATCAGCATAATACTGGTCAGGATGATGGGAACTGAAATCAAAGAAGGATGCACTAGGCTGCCTATCCTCTATCTAGGAACTCCAGAGACCCACTGTAGAGATGGCTAGACAGATTTGTGCTTTATGCTACATTTAATTTTAAATTGTCTTGAAACTGTTACGAAGACATTTCGATTGTTATCTTCATTGGAAAGTATAAGAGTTGCAATTCAACACATCTGGTACGTAGTTTTGGGAAAAAAAGCTTCCAAATAAATGCTAAGTATTTTATTTTTCCTTGTCCAATTAGTGTTTGGGTGGAACCAAATATTGTGCATTGAAGGCTTGGAAATGGCCATTTGCACTGTAATAAAAAATAAATCATAGCATCCTGTGTTGTTTCCTCTGAAGATACTGCTTCAAAATAAACCAGTAAATGTGTAAATAAATAAATGTTTTTCTTAAAACAATTTTTGGTGGTTTTAGAAATCTGGGATGGAATTTGATGTTTTTCTACTTTTGAAAGTTAAGGAGGAGGAGAAAAGCCAATTCAGACTATTTTTTTCACATATTGGATTCTTAGCCAATAGTCAGAATGCTGACTCTTTGTCTAGAGGAATTTGGATCTAATCCTTACCCCACTGACTATGTAAACTTCTCCCTTCTTAAAATCAACTTCCATATTCATGTCCCAAACACTCATAAATCCCTTTGTCTCATTTCAGAGGAAGATGGACTGGAAGAAACGAAAGACATTTCTGTTCGAGTCATGTCCTCTCATTCAGTACTGGTCACATGGACAGATCCCTTCAGTGAAAAGCAGAAAAGACCAATCCCCTCTAGGTACTAAGCATTATCTGGGCTCTTTACATAAGCTTGCCACAGGTATGCCAATTCTAGCTTGTTGCTTGCAGCTTTGGAAATCTAGCATGACTGGGGAATACTTAAAGGAAAAACCAATCTGACTGATTTATTGCCCCTTAACCACAGAGCCAATACAACTTTACAGTCCTAGTGCCATGTCCAATATAGGGACAGTAATTGAGTGTCTAAACTCTATTGTGAAGCTTTGGGCAGTTGTCTCAAATTAAAAGTATTTCTTCCTCTCAAATTAAAAGTATTTCTTCCATGCAGAAGATTCTTGTGAAGCATTCTTTAACAAGATTTGTTGAAAGGGATAGAGTTGCAAGAATTTCAGCAAGTGAACAGTATCTAATTTGGAATCATTATATTCCAGTATATTAAGCTGCAGTCATGTAGACTCTCTTAGTTTCTCTTTAACTACTGGTACTTCATATGAATCAGTGGACAGGGATTTTTTTTCACTGATGGAAAAATCTGCAGCTGGCTGTTTACAAAGCCATCTCTTAAACTTTAGGCTTGCTGGATGGCTGTAATGTGGAGTTCAACATGTATTAAATTGAATTTCATTCTGAGATTATTCTTCTGCTGTCACATCCTGAATATTCTGACCAAGAGTATTCTGCTATCCTTGAAGAATTTGCCAGGTTCTTCAGAAGTTGGGTGCACTCTGCATGTAAAGTAGTCATATCTGAACCTTTGCTATTGTGCATTGGGTTAATCCTGCATTCTTCTGTCACATTATTTCTAGGCAATACACTGTCCGTTACAGAGAGAAAGGGGAATCGGCAAGGTGGGATTACAAACAAGTATCCAACAAGCGGGTCTTGGTGGATAAACTAATTCCAGACACTATGTATGAATTTGCAGTTAAAATCTCACAAGGAGAAAGGGAGGGCAAGTGGAGTGTTTCAGTTTACCAAAGAACCCCAGAAACTGGTATGTATTAAGTAGTATCAAAATTGTGCCTGTTAAATCTTTTTTGGAATTGTTAAGGTTCCAGTCCAAAAAACCCCAAATAAAATCGTCATGTTAAGCTAATTTTCTTAGCAACAATATGAACATGATTTGCCATTACTTCTCCCAGGATAGGGTTTCTACTCTCCCAGTCTGACATACAAGCTCAGCGTCTGCTTAGCTTCTGTTTTAAAATCAGCCAAGTTTGGCTAAGAGCTGCTATCTAGTTGGGCAAAGCAGGCATACTGTTTTATATGTCAGTTTGCTTTTGATTTTCTTCATCTTTAACCAATAGGACCAGCTGCTTCAGTAATTTCTCAATAAAAATAACTTTCTCTCCCTCTGGTCTTTAATTGGCTATCTGTCTGTCTTATCATCAAAGCAGTACTGTACTGACAGGCATGCATGGGTTTTAGAACAGGGGTCTTCAAACGTGGCCCTTTTATGACTTGTGGACTTCAACTCCCAGAATTCCTCAGCCAGCGGGCCTGGTTGAGGAATTCTGGGAGTTGAAGTCCACAAGTCGTAAAAGGGCCAAGTTTGAAGACCCCTGGTTTAGAACTTCTCTGAATTGTTTATATTATACTGTAAAAGTGTAGCATGGACAGCAAGCAATCCCCAGCATTTTGTAAATGACAGGCATGTTTGGAAATTGAAGGACATGTGGTAGATGCTTTTGTAAAATATCTACCAGAAGGATGCTTGCTGTCTCACTGAATATCTGCTACATGTTTATAATCAATTGCAGAGCATCATTTTATCAGACAGCTGTTTGCCACTCATCAACCCCCCCTCCATCAGAATGTTCCTAGTCTTTAGCTAGTGTCCTATTCCTGGCATGAGGGCACATTTCCAAATTAAAAAAACACTAGAGTGCAGTAATCCATCACTTTTGTTTTATAAGAAAAGTTGTGGGTTCTCTTCAGAGTCCAGAGGCATTACTGGAAATAAAAAATTCTGGAGGCAAATATTTAGGAATGAAACATCCCAGTGTCTCATATGAAGAAATATAGGAGACAGGGAGCCTATTGGGCATTAAAGGAAGTGTTTATTTATGAATTGTCCTTCCTTCCTTCCTTCCTTCCTTCCTTCCTTCCTTCCTTCCTTCCTTCCTTCCTTCCTTCCTTCCTTCCTTCCTTCCTTCCTTCCTTCCTTCCTTCCTTCCTTCCTTCCTTCCTTCCACCTTCTCCTTCCCATATTTGCTGTTTATTTTGCAGCTCCTGCTAGTGCCCCAGAAAACCTCAATGTGTGGCCAATTAAAGGCCAAACTCCTTCTGTTGTGGCTACCTGGGATGCCCTTGCAGAAAGTGAAGGAAAAGTCAAAGGTAAATGGGGGAAATAAATTAGAGAACCTCATGTGCTGATTTCATTGACCCAAAAAAAAAAAATGGCAAAAGGAGAAAACTACATGCACAATCCTGATCTAAATCAGCAAATTGAACAGATGCATTGCCCTCAAATGCTTCTCCCTTTTTTTAGAGAGGGATGCAGGGGTCTGCTAAAAACCTGAAACGACATTAGCAGTTCACATTGTTGCTGGGGGGGCATTCATATGCTGAAAAGCAAAAGAATATAGTTGTACTTTGAATTCTGGTATCTATAATCTAAGTCAGGATGAGACCACCAGTCTTAGGATTGCAACACTGAACACACACACACACACACACACCCCAACTCACGTCTCAGCAAGCTGAAAATAAAAAGCTTCATGGCATGCCACCAACAAACTGATATAACACCCCCCCCCCCAGGAAATAGCCACTTCCACCCTAGGAACCAGTCCCGACCACAATGGCACAATAGTGCAAAGCTAGGAATGCAGCTGCTTGTGGAATTTATGGCCCACAACACAAAGCAACAAGGGGGAGCTGCAGCCGCTTTGTGTTCACCACTACAGTGTGGAGAAGCAGGGCTAGGAAAGAGCCAACTTCCCAAGTGCTCCTTCTAGGCATGGAGACACACCTTCAGAATTAGGTGACTGTGAGAAAGAGGGCATAGACAACAAAGTTCAAGAATGCAAGAGAAATGGGGAATGATCATTCATTCATTCATTCAATTTCCCTTTAGAGTTTTCAAGATTATAATTTTAAATTCAGACTTGCATTTCTGAAACCCATGTGGCTCTTGCTTCTTTAGTTTGCCAGTTGTATGGCAAACTAAAGAAGCATCTAGCCACAGCATCTAGCCAAGATCAGCAAGTTGCTGGCCCACCTGTCCAGTTGAGGTCCCCTCCATAACTTGGGCCCATTCCTTCCTGTATCTCCTTGCAGCCTCAGCAAATGAATGGGATTGTCACATGCAGCCAATGGGTTGCAACTTTCAGACCTTTGACCTAAAAATGATACAGAGTTTATGGAAAATATAATGAAATGATGGGTAGAGATAACACTCAAAAATAATAATCCAACAACTGATATTAAAAATACATCCAGCTCAAGTACTTCCAACTAGCAAGCAACAGAATTGTTTCATTCTGTAATCAGAAACCCTATTAACATCATTTACCTTTTTAACTAAAAAAAGAGAGATGCCAATTACAGAGTGTTCTACGTCCTTTTCCATTTTCATGTGAAGTCTGTTCTTTGCTTGTTTATGACTTAGGTGTTGGATTTGTACAAGCCATAAAAGAATGCACAAAAATATTTATAAATTATAAGTTACACTTATAATTTGAAAATAATACCTATTCAAATAAAGGCGTAAATAGGCATCAATATTGTATTCTATTAGCTGCAAAATCAGCTCTTTTCATATTGCAAAGTCAACATGAGAAATAAACAGAAGGCAATCTTTAATATGAAAAAGGAAAACTCTTGTGATTTTAAGAATGTTATAAACCCAAAAATAAATAATACATAAACAGAAGATGCATATTCATTAGTCTTATGATGATATTGATGGATCGTAATTCCATGGCCTAAAGTTTTATTTGAATAGTTAATTGATATTGTTCTCTTACTGTTTATGCTTCCTAAGTTTTTTTTTCATATGAATTCTGAACTATAAAATTACAGGCTATGGGGAAAGATTACATGTATGAATATGTTTTCCCATACAAACGGAAAAAATTTTGCATGATGAATAAAGAACTTTGAATGAAAACCAATCTCCCTTATAATTTCTTCTTTCTAGTGTTCCAAATGCAAATTGTTTTAATGAACTGTAAAAGTCATTCAGTCATACTGTATTATAAATTTGTGAAAACAAGTCTACTTTACATTGGGTTTTTTTCACAAAACCCTTAGCAACGTTATGCTTTGCTTGTGCAATAAGGATTGCAAGGGAAGAACAATTTTTTAATGAGGTAACACGTATCAAGCCTTAGAAGTATCCTAGATGTCACCACCGGTGTCACCATCCTTGTGGATCTTTAGTCTTTGTTTTGGATTTAATTAGTTTCATTCATGATGTACATGCAATATCTTTTCATGCTTAAGATAGCAGTGGTAGTATCAATGCTAACGCTCTGGGCAAGTGAATATGTTCATCTTAGTGTAAGTTCATCTTATGCACACATACACAGACACACATACATACATACATACATAGCACACACACACAAAATGTTCAACTTGTATTAATGTATATGTATTAAGATGAACAGATTCACTTGCCTGATACATTAGAATTGACTATCACTGCTACCTATATATATATAAAATGCAGCATCTTTAATACCCCAGCTTTTGTTTTGACGTGCATTGCCAGTGTATTAATTTTAGTAATGCACGTTCTAATTCATCCTACCCATACAGTCTGTCCACTGGAAACAGGATTGTTTTCAGTTTCCTACTTCCAACCGTCTGCCAAATTGTTTCAGAATACATTCTCTCATACGCCCCGGCACTCAAACCCTTCGGCGCAAAGTCCATTTCCTACCCGGGAGAGACTACATCTGCTTCAGTGGAGGGTCTGCAGCCTGGGGAGCGCTATGTTTTCAAAATTCGTGCTGCAAACAGGAGGGGCCAAGGCCCTCAGTCGAAAGCCTTCAGTGTCGCCCTGCCAGCAAGTAAGTACAGTGGCTCCATTGTTCACAAACGTCTTGTTGCCTTTTTTAAATTCATCACATCTTGATAATTTTGGAACAATCCCTGCTCCTTTCCAGATGATCGAGTAGTTTGAGGGGGTAGGCAAGGGGTAGGAAATCTTTAATGCAGATACGGCTCTTAAATCTCTGTCGCCTCCTCTCCCACTAATTTCAGACCCTGGAGGTTTTTTAAAAGGGAGACAGGTAAATGAGGTGATAAAAAGAGAAAGAGTGAAAATATTGAAGAGGACTTTGCCTATATCAGGGGTAGGCAACCTTGGCTCTTTTATGTCTCATGGACTTCAACTCCCAGAATTCCTGAGCCAGCATGGCTCCGCTTGGAAACTCTCCCTTTCCCCTCAGCATGGCTGGCTCAGGAATTCTGGGAGTTGAAGTCCACGAGTCATAAAAGAGCCAAGGTTGCCTACCCCTGGCCTATATAATCAAAGGTGTGCTGCTAATATTTAAGAGCTGATTACTGGCTTCAGCAACCACGCTTCTCCATAGAACATCTGAGGGATAAATTAGGCATTGAGGCTCATTTCTGCTGTCAACTGGCTCAAAAGATTAAAAAATATATATTAACAATTGGCTCTCAGAAGTCAGCTCCTGCACACCCTGCCTAACACCCTACCCACTAGTGGCTTCAGCTGCACCCCTTCTTGCCACGGGGTCCTCCAGCACATACTCTCTGAAAAAATGTTGTTTTTGACAGAGCAAAGTTTTCCCATATTTAGTCGGATGGATCCTAAAACGTCTTTTTTTAGGCATAATGTTCTGCAGGGATTTTAAGTTAAATTCCAGAGCCTAGATCAGGGGTGTCAAACTGCTGGCCCACGGGCCAGTTTCATCGTACTGAAGCCGCATCCACCCCATTGCTGGCAATGCAAAAAGAGTTGTGATACGTCGTGACACGTCATGTGACGTGGCGAGTTTGACACCCGTGGCCTAGATGGTGGCAGAAGTTAGGCATATTTCATTGGTTAATCCAGAAGCTATATATGTACTATTTCCATTTTGCACTGGGTAATTAAAATATTGTAAGACTGTGAAAATCAGAATGTTCAGAAACAAATTTATATCATCAAAATGTTTTTCTTTGTTTCCTGATTCCGATGTTTGACTATATTCCCTAAATAAATATCTGACAGTTATATTTGAAACTGAATAATATTTTACTTTGATAGTGATCGTATTGTGTGGCATTTAACATCAGATATCATTTCTAAAAGCACAGCTGATGGCATTTCGTTTGTCCTAATGCTGAGTAACTAACATTTTTTTCCTTCCTTCCTTTTCAAGAATAAAAAAGCAGTAAAGTCTAGAAGTCTTTAAAAATTGATGTGTTAAGCTAAATTTTCATGTTCAGAAAACAGATTTTAACAACAATAACAATAACAACAGTAACAGTAACAGTAACAACAACAATAATTAATAATAATAATAATAATAATAATAATAATAATAATAATAATAATAATAATAATAATAATAATAATAATAATAATAATAATAATAATAATAATAATAAAGTTGGAAGGGACTTTGGAGGTCATCTAGTCCAACCCCCTGCTCAGGCAGGAAACCCTACACCATTTTGGACAAATGGCTGTCCAGTCTCTTCTTAAAAACGTCCAGTGTTGGAGCATTCACCGCTTCTGGAGGCAGGTTGTTCCACTGGTTAATTTATCTAATTGTCAGGAAGTTTCTCCTTAGTTCTAGGTTGCTTCTCTCCTTGATTAGTTTCCATCTGTTGCTTCTTGTCCTGCCCTCAGGTGCTTTGGAAAATAGCTTGACTCCCTCTTCTTTGTGGCAGCCCCTGAGATATTGGAACACTGCTATCATGTCCCCCCCTCGTCCTTCTCTTCATTAAACTAGACATACCCAATTCCAGCAACCGTTCCTTATATGTTTTAGTCTCCAGTCCCCTAATCATCTTTGTTGCTCTTCTCTGTACTCTTTCTAGATTTTGAAATATTTTATTAATATTTATATCAGCTTTTAATCCCTGTCAGTAAACAATTCTGAATTAATATACTACCATAATTATAATTTTAAAAACTAGAGATAATTACAATGCAATATGTTTTATTAGATTTACTGCAATATGTTTTATTAGTAAATCTTTTCTTTCTTTCTTTCTTTCTTTCTTTCTTTTTCTTTCTTTCTTTCTTTCTTTCTCTTTCTTTTTCTCTCTCTCTCTTTTCTTTTTTTCATAATTGTTTATTTTTTATATTTTTTTATATTTGTGTTCTCTTGTCTCTTTGTTTAGCCAATATAGATGAATTGAAGACAAATCAACAAACAAATACAGAAGAAGATTTGGAACCTAAAATGTCTTTGAAAATTATGCCTTCTTCCCCTTTTCTAACTTCTTCTGCCTTGTCTCAAAGTGCTTCACCATCCTCGTCTTCTAAGCATTTTTCTAGTCACTCAGTTACTTTTCCTGATGAGGTAGATTCAAAATATCCAGTTTCTGATCCGAAAAATAAAGTCTCAGATGGTTCAAAAAAAGAAGCAGAGCTGAAAATGGCTTCTCATTCTACAGAAGATTTGGTTGATTCTGTCAAGGCAACATCAACAATGCAATCCAAAGTTCAGAATATTAAAGGGAATGTTAAATCCCATTCCGCCATTAAACCTGCACACACTTTCACATCCTCAGATAAAGCACCTCTCAGGACACGAACGTTAGTAAGGGTAGGACAAACAAATCCTGATACGCCTAGATCACTACCATCTTCTTCCCTTCCCAAACATACAGAGGATGAAACAAAGGATCTAGGACAGGACAGACCTAACCTTTCTCCTGTGCCTAAAGCTACTGTAGATAATTTGCCTGTAGATAATGAAAGTAACAACCAACTAGACAATCTGGAGGATAAGCCTAGAACTCCAGAAGAGAGCCATTCAGTTTTACTTTCAAGTAAGCAACTGTCTGCATCTCGGAAGACAACTCATAGTAGACCCACCAAATTGCGTTTCCCTTCTATATCAGTTAAATCTCCTTCACCAACCGCAGCTGCAAGGTCTCAAAATCATTCACATCACTTCTCTTACAAACCAATTACGCCTGATACCGGCGATATTCTCAATAGTGATAAGAGCAGAGGAACAGAAAAAAGAGAGCAGAAATTAAATTCCAGGGCGTCTTCTCCCCAGGGAGGTTCATCTCCATCTGTGCAAACAAAGCCTCTCACATATTCTAATCGCCATGCCTTGAGAGATCCAAAAATAACTACCTCTGCTGTTTCTGCTGCTGCTACTCATACTTTACCTCATTCACGTGTTTTATCTTCTGATAAACATAAGTCCAAGGGAAGAGATAATTCTGATGACAGTGAAAATGAAAAGAGTGAAAGAGAAGGCGATGAAGAAGACAAACAAGGGTCATCATATTCTAGACCAAATTTTAGGCCCTCTTCAGGTCTGGCTACCTCGGAACGCTTTGATTTATTAAAATATAGATCTGTTATTACTTCTAACAGATTTGCAAATAGAGTTACCAATAACCATGATGCAAGAATGCAACCACCCAAAGATCCTTCTGCTACACAGCCTTCCAAAGTTCATCCTCAATTTCGTTCTCGTATAGCACCTGGCAGTACCAGTCTTAGGTCTAATTTCAATATCGATAAAAAACAGAGGAGTAAAAATGAAAATCCTCTACCATCCACTCCTCTCCGTAGTTACTCACCACCATTTTCTAAGCAGTCTTCTTCAGTAGATGATTTCAAAAGGAAACCTGTGGCTGAAACTAAGAGTCACCACAGAGTTACACCAACTAACAAACCTAATCTTGTAAACACCCAAGAAAATAACCATAATAAAGAAAAAGAAACCACAGATACAGATTCCTCAAGAATATCTGCAGAAAAATCATTTCCTCTACATTCTCCTACTTCCTGGTCTCAACTTGATGATGGCAAGATCAAGACTACATCTCCTAGGACAAAACAAACATCATCTTTGTCAAAGAAACCAAACACTGCTTTAGCCCATAAAATTGTACAGCCAGAATCCATTCGTTCCTCAAAAGCATTAACTGATTGGGCACAAGTCCGATCCTCTTTAAACTCAAGAAGTGATCTGATGTCGCTTTCAAAGAATAATAAAGAACTTACTGATAATGACAGTTCAGAAGACAAGGAAACAAATGTTAAAGAGGAGCAAAGAGGATCTCCTTTAACACCTGCCAAAGGAGTTCCCACATCTAGAAGAATATCTACATCTTTGTCTCAGGGAAGAACCCGCTCTCTTTCAAAGCATTTTAATTCTCGGTTTGATAGAACTGATGAAAGATCTCCAACTCAGTTGTTACCAGAAAAACAAGCTGGGTCAAGGGTTATAACTTCTACTGAAGTTACCTCTAATACATATAAATTGCCTTCATCTTCATCTTCTCAAAAATCTAAATATTTACAACCAACATCTACCTCTTCCAAAGACACAATCAGAGACTATCAACACAGTAGAGAAACTTCTTTGAAACAAACTCATCTTTCAGAGCCTCATTATCCATCTGGGTCTAGAATTTCAAGTAGGGTAGCATCCCAAATAAACAAAAAGCATGGACTTTTCCAGCCAACCCCTACAAAGGTTGAACTATCTCCAAAACTGCCCTCCTCTAAAATACATCAGTCAATTTCAAATAGTGATGGTGATTACGAAGACTATGACCAATCAGATGTAGAGAAAGATCCTATTTTGTCTTCATCAGCCAAGACTTCACAAATTTCTAACAAAGTGAAATCCTTGCCTAAATTAAACTTGGCTTTGCCACACACCTCTGAATTTGTGTCTTCTCATAGTCGCTTGACTTCTAGTGTTTCTCCAACACATTCCTCAACTTCTCCCTCAGTGCCTCCTATTCAACGAATACAGAACTCAAGATTATTAAATCCTTCTCAACGACATCAATTTCGATTTCCTCATAGACAAGGTGAAGTATAATTCATAAACTTTCTATTTAAATTGAAAGAGAAAAGTTTTACGTTTAGGCAGTAAGAATCTCATTAGGGAAACTGATTTGTTTTGGAGCCATCTCCTAGTTTTGTGTTATAAAGACTTGTAGTCTCTGAACTTTTGCACAGTTCTGCAGACAGATAACATTGAACCAGTCTTTCAGTGAAAATCATTTTGTCATCATCTCTCACTAAGAAAGCCATATTTTTGTGTAGGAATCAATAATCATATTAGATAGTCTTAATTCCTGGTAGATGTTTTTTAGATGTTTCACGTAGTGCCTATCCTAGGTTAATTAAATAAACATATTTATTAGATAGCACATAAGTTTTACATACTTAGGTAGTATATAGAATTGTAAAGCAAAGCAAAAAAAAATCTCATGAAAAAAATTAATGTGTGATGAACATGTTTTGTAGGCAAATGTAATGTGTAAACAAACACTAAAATAGTAGTGGCCATATGAAACATAGAAACACATTTTGTAGAGATACATTTACAATTATTAACTCCAATATGATTGGGTAACCTAGTTTAAGCAGTATATGTATGCCTGAAAGACACTTTTATGCATGCTCATTTATAAAATGTATTTTGTCATGTTGGAATGATTTGAATTTAATTGTCATTTCCCTGAATGGGCAAAATGTCTGATTGCTGTATGTTTTCACCATGTATGTTTCAGGTAATGGTAGGAGACCCAATGTGATGACAAAAACAGACCTAAATAATAAAATAGTTCCAAATAATAATGGAAAACGAAATGGACAAAAAATAATAAGTGGTCCACAAGGTGCAAAGTGGGTAGGGAGACCTTCTTTTAAAATGTCTGAAAGATTTTATTTTATATTCCTTTGAGTTGGAGGACCTTTCAATCAACATATTGCTTTTAGATTGTAGATCTTGACCGAGGGCTGGTGCTGAATGCTGAAGGGAGATATCTCCAAGATTCCCAAGGAAAACCTCTCAGAGTAAAATTAGGCGGGGATGGCCGCACCGTTGTTGGTATGTTGTATTCTTATGTTCTATAATTAAGGCCTTTTTTTTGTTCAGTAAACTTCCCAGAGAGTTCTACATTGTGATAAATTCTGAAAGTAAGTAAATTATTTGTTTACTTACTTGATTTATATACCTGCCCATTTCACTTTTATGTGACTCTAGGCAGCTTGCAATAAAACAAATGAAAATGTGAAATGGATACAGGGGATCCTTGACTTACAACAGTTCATTTAGTGACCATCCAAAGTTACGACGACGCTGAAAAAAGTGACCTGTGACCCTTTTCCATGTGACTGTTGGACCATCTCCACAGTCACACAATCGAAATTTGGACAGTAGGAGTCGCGTCCTGGAGCCATGTCATCACCTTTGGCCACCTTCCGACAAGCAAAGTCAATGGGGAAGCTAGATTCACTTAACAACTGTGCTGCTAACTGCAGTGATTCACTTAACAACTGTGGCAAGAAAAGTTGCAAAATGGAGCAAAATTCACTTAACAACTATCTCGCTTAGCAACAGAAATTTGGGGCTCAATTGTGGTCAGAAATCAAGGAGTACCCGTAATAGAGAACCAAAATAAAAACACATAGCAACTGGGCATGATCTAATTCAGGGCTCCCCAACCTATGGGCCATGTCATTGCATGTGACACCATTTCCGCATGCACAAGTTTCCCAGCTGTTTTCTTTCCCTCCGGGTCTCCAGCATGAAAAGGTTGGTGACCTCTGATCTAATTCGCCATCCATACAATCAGGCGATGGGCTCTAACTCATGCCCAGGGCTCCTGGCTCCTGGCTTGAGCATAAAACCAGGTTTTCACAGCCTTTGGATTGGATGAAGCCAATCTAAACTCAGATGGAAGGGGGGCCACAGCAGAAAAGGCCCTGCCAGCTGACACTCTCTTGCTGATGATACCTGGAGCATGCCCACCCTACCAGATTGGACAGGGCAGGTAGAAACAATTGGAGCGAGATAGACTTGTAAATAACCTGGCCCTAAGTCATGAAGGGCTTTAAAGGTGACAACCAGTAGTTTGAATTGTACCTGGAAACATACTGGAAGCCAATGCAGCTCATAGAACAGAGGTGTCACATTATTCAGATAACGTACCTAGGACCAGGCAAAGGCATCTGATCATATGAGCCTTTTTTCCCCCCACCTCTCAAACTCTTCTGTCAAGCAAAATGTATACCAGGAAGCCATCAAAAGATTTAAAAATGTGCGTCTCTGTTTACTGCTCTTTGGATGTCATTGCATAGTTTGCTAAAATGGAGCCTTTACACCCTCTGCCCCCCTCCCCCGCAAAAAATAAATGATTTGGGTAAATGTGTCACTGCCTTGAAGTAGCGTTCCTTGTGAAAGATACCACTGGCCTTTTTGTAGTTTGGTGACACAACCTGGTCTCTTTTCAATATCTGCTGTATTTAATTGGATAACAGTGGTAGCCTCAAGAATCTGCTGTTTCTCACAAAATTAAATAAGGTTGGAGAGGACTCGTAATGGCTGCTGCGTGTCTTACGAAAGGCATTTTGATCACAATGAATAGTTGCTTCATCAGTCTTTTTATTAAAAAGTCTGTGCACCATATGGAAAATAACGATTGAAGCTAAAGAGGGCTGCCTGGAAGAAGTCAGTATATTAGGAGGGGGTACTAAGGGTATAAACATTTTGTATGCAGGCACTCCTCAACTTACAACATTTTGTTTAGCGACTTCTCAAAGTTACAACACTGAAAAATGTGACTTATGACCGTTTTTCACAGTTATGACTTTTGCAGCATCCCCACAATCATGTGATCAAAATTCAGATGCTTGGCAACTGATTCATACTTATGACCGTTGCTGTGTCCCAAGGTCAGGTGATCACCTTTTGCAACCTTCTGTCAAGCAAAGTCAATGGGGAAGCCAGATTCACTTAACAAGTGGGTTACTAACTTATCAACTGCAGTGATTCACTTAACAACTGTGACAAGGTTGTAAAATGGGGCAAAACTCACTTAACAAACATCTCACTTAACAGCAGAAATGTTGGGCTCACTTGTGGTCATAAGTCGAGGACTACCTGTGGTACAGCCCTGAGAATGATTACTTAAATATTCAATAGTTCCGGCATCTTAAATGGCATGTGTCCAGTTTTCTAGACAATGACCTCACTTAAATCCAGTACTTCCCAATTCCTAATGTCCTAAGGCAGTGATTGAAGTACATTTCCCTCTTCTTGTCTTCTGATAGATTCTAAAGGAGCTCCAGTAGTAAGTCCAGATGGCTTACCTTTGTTTGGACATGGAAGGTTTAGCAAACCTGTAGCAAATGCACAGGACAAGCCAATAATAAGTCTTGGAGGTAAGCCGTTGATAGGCCTTGAAATGGTTAAAAAAACCACCACTCCTTATACAACAACAACTACAACAACTCCTGAACCTACGACGACTCCTGAACCTACAACTACAATTGCTACAACTACTCCTGAACCTACAACTACTGAGCCGCCAACAGAGAAACCACCACCTACCTGTCCTCCAGGCACCCATACAGAGAACGATGAACAAGGGAATCTTGTATTAGACCCAGATGGTCTGCCTGAATGCTATTCTGAAGGTACCCTTTCTTACGTTGGCTAAAGATCAGTAATACCTTTGAATATACCTACATCAAAAGTTGTGATGCGGGGGAAAGGCATCTATTTTCCAGCTTTACAGTTGCTGGGCTTACAAAACAGGTAAGATTCAAGCTATCAAAAGCTTGAATTAGCGGTTGTGGAAGAAGAAATAATTTCTTGTTCTCTCACATCTGTTGCAACGATAAATTGTTGAGCTGTTTAAACCAGCAAAATGGAGAAATAAAGCCCAAAATTCTTTAAAGCGTGCTTTAGGCAGATGTAGACCTTTATGTAGATAGTTTTTAAGCAAAAGTTAAACTCAGGAGAAAAACATTAACTATACAAAACAGTTCATTTTCAAGTGGGGCTTCTGTTCTGTGGTAAGCTTGTATCTCATCAGCCCCTGAGAGCATGTTGCATGTAATAATATCTCTCAAAGCTGACTTCTGTTCATAGAATCAGTGTCTTAGCTCTCCTGTACATTGATCATGCAGAAGTCACTTAAAACTCTTCTGTCAGTCCCTATAATGTGTAGTATCACTTCCCACACTGACAGAGCATTGGTATACTGTAATTGACCATTTATCAAGGGTAAGTTCTCTGTGGTGTATCCTTAATTAAATCTTAAGGAAAATGCTTCGGATTTTAGAAGAAGAGAAAGATTTTCCCTCATCATTTGAAGGAACAGAGAAGATTTTTTTTCCTGTTCACATTTGAATGCCCACTTAGTTTGTTGTTTATTTAGAAACCATCTGGCTCCTTGCTTGCTTCTTTTGGGGTAGGATTTCACTCCTCCTGAAGGAGCAGGAGGCAATCTGGTGGTTCTGGACATGCAGGTCCTGCTGGAACAGCCAGTGAAATCCAGGACAGAATTTGTCCAACTTCAACGAGTTTGCCAATTGCAAACATTCTTGGAGCAAACTTATTTAATTAATTAATTAGATTCCTATCCCATCTTTATTATTTTTATAAATAACTCAAGGTAGCAAGCATACTCCTTTCTCTTCCTGTTTTCCCTCTGCGGAGTAAGTTGGGTTAAGAGACAGTGATTGCCCCAAAGTCACGCAACTGGCCTTCATGCCTAATGCATTAGTGACGGATGTTCGTGCCTTTATGACGCTGTGCTTGAATTGCGACCGTGCACAATAGGCTACCTTTGACTCCTCAGAAACTCCTGTTGGACCAGAACGTAATACAAGAGCCAGTTCACCAAGGTAACACTTATACTGAGTTGGTTGCCAATATGTTTCCAGTGTGCTAGTTATGAAGTATAAAGCTCTTATGACCTCGGGACCATCTTCCCCAATTGGACGATGCCCAAACTGTGTGTGTAAATTGAGAAGCTGTGTTGAAGATTTCTACCCCTATCCCACAGGCCCTTCTCTTGCCTTATGGACAGCTTATACCCTGGGCCCAGGATAGCCCCCTTTCTGTTGATTTCTGAGAAGGTGGAATGGGCCTTTGGAGTGTAGAATGCAAAATATTGAGCCAGCTGCCATTTATTTATGGATGATTTAATCGGTTGGTTTTACTGAACGTGTTAGTATTTGATATGTGAAATGTCCAGAGTTTTTCATTGGAGTGGCATATATTGTAAGTGCTGTAGAGGGGGAAAAAGTGATAAATAAGTAAATGCTATAAGTAAATAAATGTAACATCATGAAATGGTTACTTACATTTAGCAGGGTGATAAACTATTTCCAGACCTCACCTACAAAAAATGCCTCAAAGTGTGGGATCTGGAATCCTTTAAAGGCAACCCAGAAGAAACTAGAGTCAAAGGACTAAACAATTGACAATGATTTTGAAGGATAAACCAAAATTGCAGCATGAAAGCAAGAGATGGCCAAAGTTTTCTTACCTCCAAAATGATATTAGGTAAGTCAGCATGTTTTGCATGTTTTTTTTTCCTGAATAGCATTACTTATTGATTTTTAGTACCACTGTGGAGTTAATTGCAACTCCTAACAACCTACTCAGTATGATCTATGATAAGGTTTACTAGAAACTGGATATCAGCAACATCTGCCATGGACTTTGCTGTTTATAGAAGCTGTGTTGCACTACAAATTGTTTTAAAAGTTGCCTACATGCAACATTAAGCAGTCCTCTCTCATGCAACACTATTTAAATTATGAGTATGTAATTTGCTCTGCTAAGATATGCAACAGAAACAAAGAAAGGCCATTATTAAAAGGGCATTATAGCAGTAATGATCATAGGAAGAAAGTGCTAATTCAGCTTTCCCAACTTGGTGCCTTCAAAATATGCTGGTCTACAATTTCTATAATTTCCACATGTGTGGCCATAGATCAACACATCTGGGAAGAACTAATTTGGTGGTAGCTTTTCTAAAGCTAATTACAGTAGTGGCCAAAATTGTGGAAACCTTTTGGGAAAAGTGTATTTTTGAGGTTTGATGGCTAATAACACCACTTTTTTGGAGTAGTACCATAAAATTATATATCAATGGAAAGATAATTTAATCAAGAATGTAATGCAACAAAGTTTGTTCAATTATCTGTACTGTATTCTATGAAAAGTTATAGCCAAATAACCAGAAAAAGGAAGCACAACTTGTTTAGGTTGATATCAGGTAGCTTTCCTTCATCTGATTGTAGCCAATGAGCATGAGTGTTTAGAGAGCCAATCAGGTGTCATCTTGTTTTGGCAATGAGTCAATCAGATCACAGTAGGATTCAGTTATTGATGTCATGTATTGAAGCTGAAAGGAGGACATTTGTCAGTGTGTTATGTGATCGCTATCAAGTTGGTTGGGTTTTTTTTGTGTTCTTTCATTTAGTGAGCTTGTAAAACGTAATAAAATTAAAGTAATGGTGCAAAGAGTTGACTGGTCACCCAGAAAGCGATGTAAAATAGTATTATTAAGTGAACAAGGCTACAGTTATAAAAAAATGAGAAGAAAAATTGGTGGAAACTTAACCAAAGGTGGCATTTCTACTGTACACTTTTCCCAAAAGGTTTCCATAATTTTGGCCACTACTGCAGGTGCATAAGGTAAAATAATGAACAAATTACTTACATTTAGTAAAAGTTTAAAAAAAATGGCAAGCCACAAATAATTCTTTAGCTGTTAGAAAACATCATCATTTCAAATGGTGTTTTTCAGTAGAGAGAAGACAAACCCATGTACATATCTGTTGTTTTTTTAAAAAACCAACAAATGCCGTTTTCTGAAAAGTTATATGCTTGCTCTTATGAAAGGCTATTGGTAGAGATTTCCAGTGTTCATGACAGAGAATAGAATTTTTAAGCCATCATGATGTTATGAGTGTAAACAACAATTAAAAGTCATTTTTAGAAAACTATGGTTATAAAGAACCCACAGATTTAGTTCTCTCATGTTATCTTGAACTTATGTATCAATATCTATCTGTCACAAATGAAAGCAAATATATGTGTCCCAGGATAATGTTGCAGGATCCAATCTGGGTCGGTCATCTCTGGCCCGGTGACCAACCCAGATTGGATCCTGCAATATCTATCTGTCTTTCTAGAGCATATTTTATATTTTATGACATGTTACAATGGCTCAAATAGAAGGGAGGACAAGGTGGGTAGAGGGGAATGCCAACATGGGCATGATGTGTATGCTGCAATTCATCTATTTCCCTCAGCTGTCCTGACAGAAGTCTATAGTGGCAGCTTTTATATGATTATGTCATGATGTGCATGTCAGCTTATAGTGACCCAAGAGGAGTCTACTATGTTGATTGTCTTGGATTCTTAGAATTCTTAGAAGAAAAGTGGAATATATGTCAACAACAGCAGTACAGTAATAATAAGGAATGGTGCACAAAGTCTTAATACTGATATTAGAACTGAAAAAGTCAATGTAGTGCACTTGAACATTTCATGACTCATAGTTTAAAACTTATAGGATCAGGCAGTACATACGTATTCTAAATTAAGAAAAAGACTATTATAGATGCAGAGAGAGTAAATGAGAACACAGATGTCAGTGGAATTCTCTCTGTAATAAAAATTAATGTTTATGTATGCAGAGAAGTTTGTTTTGGTGATGCATATGCAGAGGAGACTTGCCTAAATCATATTTTGAAATGCAATCTCTCTATCTCTCATCTTTCCAGCTACCACTTCTCCAACGGCTTTAACATCACTCTTTACATACTGTCATTCATGGTTGAAAGCACAGCAGTACAAGAACCAGTCTGGAATATACAAAACCTGACTCTGTTCAAAGGACCAGGATTTCAAGAACTTTGGGTTTTCAAGTCATTCAGATGGACATGCCGACAGGCCGACAGGCCAGATGTTAAGTGAGCTATTTTTGCTATGGACTGATTGAGCACCTGAGGTGTCCCTGGACAGCTCTCATTGAATGTGATGAGCATTTTCTGAACAACGGCTAGATGACAGAAGCAGTGGCCAATGTATTGCAAGAATGTTATCTATCCCTGTGTGGTGTTGGAGGATAGATAACAGCTTTACCACAGTCCTGCCAAATGCAATCAATATAATCTTCCAGTGGCCCTTCCAGAAAGTTCTCTTAGGATGGAAAAATGCAGCGGCATCTTGGGTCAAACACTTTGTCATTTCTCAGGAATCCGATCAATTGACAGCTTCCAAATGGACTCAGGGAAATGCGGTGCGAAAAGAATGCTGCTGTGGGTTTTGCTAAAATCTTTTGGTCCAATTTTCTCCTTGGGGTTTTATAAAAATGAGTTTAGCAGAGACGGTTGTGTTCCACAGACAAGGAACATTTGGGAAGTCCAAGTGATGCAGCAGTGAAATCCCAGACGGTTCAACATCTTTGAAGAACTATAGTCAACATTAAAAGCCACTTTTATAACTGCTGCTATCATGTTACTGGAAAATAGAGGCCCGTAAACATGAACAGTTATGAGCTTATTAAGGAACCAGTAGTTTCTAGGCTGCATTTTTTTCTTTTTTCTTTTAAAGTTTAGTAAAGCAAGCATTCACTCGAACTAGCTGCACTCAGAATTCATGAGACTGTGGATGACCCTTTAGATTACCTTTTCTGCTTAGATTATCCTTTTTGATCCTTTATACATGTTGAGTTCAGTCTATGGAGAGATCTGGGAAGGAAGGAAGTAGGTAATATATGCCAAAGAAGAATTACTGGCAACTCAGCTATAGAAAAATGAATGGTCAATTTTGTTTTGCCCTTCCCAGGATTTGCTTTGACATAGCTCCTAAAATTGTATTTTTCTTCTTAAGTCTGAAAGTCGCCTGAGATGAAGTGACAGTGCTTAGGCTTAGAAATGAGGAAATTGTTCGGATTGTGTTGCAATTGATGTTGAATAATTGAAGTGGACTAGTTTGGATTTACCTGCTTCCATGTTGTAAAATCTTCCAGAGATGTTGGACAACATTTCCCATCATCCTTTGCCAGTATGCTCATTGGTCTTAGCCAACACATTGGAGAATATCAAACTGAAGAAGACTGGCTTAACAATGATTCTGATTCATGTGAATTTTTTTCTAGCAGTTGACTATCGTTTGGGTGGCAATGAGTATCTTATATAGACCTTTAAAAGTGTAATATAGTAACCCCAGACAGACATGATATGCGTTTCTAGATCTATATCTGCCATCTTTTGTCTCATTGTGCTGCTTACAGATCAATATTTATAACTTAATGTTTTGAAATAGATTGCTGTTAAATATGTTTAACTATGCAAAAGTAAATTCTAAACTTTCATTCTGATAGAGAGAATGCAGAAAGGCAGGAGCTGGGGGTGCTTCTTAATGGTCAATAATTATTCATGGAATATCCTTCCATCCCTCTATTTATTAATATCATGTAAGTGAGTAGCTAATGCTGATTCCTATGGGAAAACAGATACGTTGTAGTGAGGGCAAAATTCAACAAAATGCAAACAAAATATCTCCTCCCCGCCCAACTTTTCGCTACCATATTGGCAGCTAGTTAGATGGAAGGTGATATTTTGGCAAAATAATGCACCTGAATTTCTCTCCACAAATTCCCACTTGCTCTTTATACTTCCAAAGCAGTTCAGCATAGAAATCAATTTGTTGTTTGATCGGCACGTTACAATAGAAGCCATTGGCTTTAGATAGGGATAATCACTAGCCATTGAATGAAAAGGGATCTGTTTCACTGTTTGAATGTATTCTTTTTTCCATAGATGTATTCTCAGGGTTTGATGCAGATATAACAGGAACTACAGAATCGTACGTGGTTTATGACGAAGGTACTGGTTACTTGAAAAGTCCTTTTCCAAAATGGGTTTTACCTTTCATTTGCTTCTAGAAATGCATTTCCAGAAAGATATAATGAGTTTCTACGAACGCACTGGTAGCCTAGACAGAATTCCAATCTAAATATGTCTAAACGGGAACACTGACTTCCACATTCTGATTTTAGTGTCTCCAGGCCAAACAAAAATTAGCAGGTCTGCAGGCATCATGACTTTCTATATAAACATACACTTGACAGACAGAGATGTGTGTTTAAACAAAATTTTAAATGGCAATCTTTCCAACCATGTAGAAAGAGGATGGTGTAAGCAGATTTTAATAGCTGGAGGGGGCTACTGATTAAGAGTTACCTCATTCATTACTTTCTTTCTTATATCTTATTTTTATTCATGCTCATTTTTTATATTAAGCTTGGATAATGCCATTAACGTATAGGAGAAAATAAGTAAATACAAATTGTATACCAGAAGGAGTTTTTTAATCTTGGCTTAAATGGATTTTTGTCATTAAAATTGGCATGGAGCTTTTTTTTTTTTTACATAACAGAAGGCAAAACAGATAAAAATAATCAAGAGCAAATATCCCAGTGATCTGTTTTGCTCCTGGAATTAATAATATTGATCATATTTCTGTGTCTTGTTCTTCCAGAGATTGTGCCTTCTGGAAAAATATCACAGTGCTGCTGTCCTTCACCAGTGGCTATCAGATTGGCCAAGGACACTTTTTGTTGTGTTTGTTTTATTCCTTGGGTCATTCAAGCAAGAAATTTAAAGTTCTCTAAGTAAACATTCCAAGCAAAAGACACAAACCATCTTGTATGAGTGAAGTTACCCATAAAACCAATCACTGTAAATTAAGCAACAGCTGGACACCCAAGAGGAATCCCAGCTCACCCACCACAATTGTTGTGCAATGCCAAGAACTCTGGTCCAACTTGCAGGCACAAATAGCTAGAGGTCCTCCTGCGACTGTTTTAGTTGCTGAACACATGTGAGAAGGCAATCCATGATGCAAATCCATCTCCATATTTTATGGGGCCTTTGGCCAATTACACTTGATGGGTTCCCCTATGTCTCTCCAAGCTTCTCTCCAATTATTAACTATCTGTCCACTTGGAGCTCTGGATATGCACAGTATACTTCGGACTTCAATGCCATAATTTATTTATATATCACTTCTCAGCTCAAAGGAGTTTACAATGTAACAATTAAAATGCAATAATATAAACATGTTTAAAAGTACTATAAAAACAACGTATTTATTTTAAAAAAGATGGTAGGAAAACAAAACAGAAACCACTTATGCAACCTTCACCCAGGAAGATTTGGGTAAAGAAGGAGTTTTCAGCAGTGATCTACAATACGTATAGTAGGTTCCTCATACTTTCAAAGGCAGAGCATTCCAGAATGTTAAAAAAGAACAAATTTAAAACAGGACTACCAGGATGGTGACAATTGCAGAGAGTTCTGGGATCCAAGAAACAGTTAAAGAATCCTGGCACACTGAGCCTACAGAAAAGATGATGAAAGGAAATATGATTGCAGAAAAGCAAGTAGATTGTTCTCTGTTACCTCAGAGGACAGAATTGGAACCAGTGAGTTAAAAGTTAAAAGTAAAGAAAAAAAGGGGGGGGAATTCCTGATGGTGGAAGTTGACAGTGGAACAGAATGCACATAAAATCATAAATTCTCCTTTACTAAAGGTCTTCAAACAGAGAGTGAATGGTCAGAGATGCTATGTAGACCTCTTCAATAGAAGTATAGACCAAATAACTTTTCTGCTTCTTCAGTGGCCTATGACCAACCTTGGGCACTCTTTAAACAAATGCATCACATTTTATTTTATTTTCTTTTGTCTAGATTATGAGTTTTTTGAAACTACTTTGCCACCATACACCACCACCACAACCACCACCACTACTACTACTACCACCACTGAATCATTGCCTGAAAACAACTTTCCAGAGTTTAGTGTCACGGGCACAGATCCTTTATCAGAATATGATTCTGCTGGAAAGAAACGATTTACTGGTAAGTCTGAAACGTCTGTTAAAAGAACAAAGATTACCAGTCCTCTGATAAGAGCTTCTGAAGCTAAATACTAGACCAGAATACTAGACTGTCAGTCTTGTCAGCAAGATTATTTTGTTAATGGCAAACATGTCCTGTGCACATCACCTGGGAACCATTTGTTTTATGAGATCATAATAAGAATCATAGTCAAATAGAGGAAATAAAAAATACACTACTCTACACCATTGATAGAGTTATAAATTCATATTTTAAACATCTTTCAGAAGGACCTGCTTGGTGTGTCTATGAGCATCAGGACTTTTGCTGGATCCTTCTCCCTATAGGAATTCCCCCTCCCTGCTCATAAAGTAAAACTGTAAAATTCTGAATTCTTACAAAGTTATGAAATCGTGTGTTTTATCATTTTTTATATTTTTTTTTATAATTTTATAATTTGTATAATTATCATTAATTTTTATAATTAGATTATAAAATCTAACACCTTGCACTAGAATGCTCACTTTACCGGACTGACAAAATCTTATGAAACTTTTCTGGCTTTATGCATTTTTTTTTGAAATGTACATGATCTTGCCTAAGAGGACATGAAAAGCTCTTGCAATCTTTTCCCACGTAAGGTTTGAAATGGAAAAGGCCTGTCAAAGTTTGTTGGCTTTTAATCAATTCTATCCCTTTTTACACAGATTTTTCCCCACCTAAACTAAGTAATTCAAACATTGTTGCCTTTAGTTGTAAAGAAATTATTCTGGTTTTCATTCTGATCTTGACAACATAGTATTCCCAATTCTGATCCTCTTTGGAAGAGCTTGGAGGAGAAAAATTGAGTCTGCTCCTTCTAAGAATAAAGCATATTCTGTGGTAAATGTTAAAAGGTATTTTCCCCCTGGAATTGGCAAAGAGAAGAATATTTTCTCAAAATCTGTACAGTATTCATCAACCTCGTGAAAAAGTGGAAATTATACAGTAAATGCAGTATCTTGTTCCAATGTAGACGTTGGCCTATATAGGAAGAAATGTATGAATAATTCTTTCAGTCCAGTAGGTGTCTTTCAGCTGGCAATTCATTTCCCTTCTTTTGAAGAAGATTCAGCTTCATATTGTTGAAAGAAAAATCTTCATTGGGGTCCAGTCCAAGCTGGGAATAAACAAAATGGAGACTGCTTTAGAAAGAAGGTTGTAGTTTATTGAAGAGCAGAGCCAGACAGAGGACTCTGAGAAAAACTGACCACATGTTGCTGGAAGTGGTGGGCTTTTATACCTTCTTGGGCTTTTGAGGTTGTTTCCTGTTCCTGTGGCATGAACCTTGACCTGAGCTTCAGTGTGCCTTTCTGGTATTCTGATGGTGGTGGGTTAATCCTATTATGTCCCAAAGGTCATATCCTGCTTCTCTGGGACTGTGGCTGATGGCTTACTTCCTGTGTTGGATTTCTTGGGTTGTTGATTCTAGGGATCTTTGTCTTTTTAATCTCATCAGCTTCTAGCTTCCTGTCTCCAACCTTTCTGAAAGGATTGTTGAATTTGCATTTCTACAGGCCTGGTTTCTGCTGAGGGGGAGGGAGAAGTTTCTGCCTTTTTAATATTCCCCAAAATATTTCTTTCTCGGGGGGGGGGGGCTGACTTCCCACAATATGAACTTGTGATTTTAACATTATGTACTATGTTGCTGCTCCACAGTTTAACTCTAAACCTAATATGAGAAGAGTGGTCAAAGTAAATACCATTTCTTCAGGTTTTGTTTGTTTTTTTTCATCAATGCAAACCTTTGTGCATAACAAAGAGACTGGAAGGACAGTTATGAAATGATGGACATCATGTTCTGCTCCTCAGTGTAATTGCAAGCCTTTGATTTTGTTTTATGCTGTGATGCATAATTTTTTTAAAAAGTTCTTTATAATGCTATAAATGGCACACCCCTTACATCTATGAACAAAACAAATCTAAACTTGTATTTTTGAAAAATAATAGAAAAATGCTGTACTTCTGGATTAAGAATTGCATCATGTGAAAAGGAAAAGAAGAACAATATCCAAAGTTTATTATTATCTCAGAAGGTGATCCTTTGCAGTTCAATGCCAAGTAGGGAGATTTCTCTCAAAGCAAATGTTCTCTTCAAAACAAGATTTTTTTTAAAGGTTTGCAACAGGAGAGGAAATAGCTGAATTTCCTTTCTTATGACACCATTTATTAACAATCTCTCTTTCTCTTTCACACACAAACACACACAAAAACAGAGAGAGAGAGAGAGAGAGAGAGAGAGAGAGCTGATAGTATTACTTTCATTTTTAAAATCCAATCTATATAACAGGACATGGAACTAACTGCGTGTAAAGTTTGTCCCAGAGAAAGCTGTTTTTAAAGGGGAAAAAGTGCTTCTAAAGATGATTTTTAGGTGGTGAATTTGAATCAGTTTGTTCCTTTGAAGAAATTACTTTTTGCTTTGGTTTCAATCAAGCCTCTGACTAGGTATGTCTATCAAGCTGTCAAGAAGTCTTCCTTTTCTCTCACCAACGAGATCAGGTCATTTGGGAACAAAAAGCAATCCCTTCGCTTAAAAATAAATGCATACTTGGAAATAATTCCTTCAGAATGACCAGATCTAACGAGATTAACAGACATTCTTTTCTTATAAACATTTTGTCGCATTCATGAGGAGAAAGGGAAAAAATGTTCTAACAAGAACTGTAAACTATAGCAGAATAAATATTTCCACTGACTAGTGCAAAGAGATTTTTCATCCTCAACCTGACCTTTTGAGATAATATGTATGCCCATTAATTTACAAGATCTGTTTGCCTGAGCCCTTCTTACTGGTATAAAATACAAAAGTGATAAATGGAGCTGGGGTAGCAATATTCTTCATAGAATTTGGAAGGTGAACTTCATATCTCAGGAGGAAACCAAACTGGCATTCTTGCCTACTTGCTAAATGCTGCTATTTATTTATCTTCATTATTTCTGTAGGTTGCTGCTTAAGGCTGTTTGCAAGGTATGGTTAAAAAGATAAGTCAAGATTTGCAGCCATAAAAGTACAGTTGAAACCTCATGAGTTTCTTAAGCGTGATGCAGCCAATCAGGGATCATTTAATCATTTCACATCTCAGCTGTAGCTGTAGAGAGAAAAAAATAACCATAAAATTGCTTCAAATCCATAGTGTACCTTCTCTGCAGTATTCTGAGCATTATGGTTAACCTTTAAGTACTCAGATTCTAAGCACATGTTTGAAAATATAGTGATCCCTAGTTGAGACTATCATAATCACAACCATTCTCTTGGCTTTTAACCATTATTTAATTGTCGTTAATGTTAATGCTTTTATAGTTATGTTTTATGTCATTATAAGCTACCCAGAATCATTTGGATAGTGAGATGGGCAGCATATAAATTTAACAAATAAATAACCAAATATGCAAATAGCAGCCTTACTACTACTTAAATATGTTACTAATAAGACCCTACTTATTTCCTAAACTTCCTTCTAAGGATGGTGTAGCTGCTAAAAGAGCCAACATTTAATACTACCAATTGCTTACCTGTTGTACTGAGTTTATTCAAAAAAAAGATAAAGCTCAATTTATGTGGGAACATTAAACAGAAACCTGTTAAAATTGGTATATATATATTGTATATTCTGATGCTTTTTTTAAAAAAATCCAACCTTGTAGTTGCTTGCAACTTTGTTTAATATAGACAGCTTTGTAAATCCCTTTATTTGCTGTACAGGCATTTTAATAGGTATGAGGCAGGGGTCTTCAAACTTGGCCCTTTTATGATTTGTGGACTTCGACTCCCAGAATTCCTTAGCCAGGCACACTGGCTGAGGAATTCTGGGAGTTGAAATCCACAAGTCATAAAAGGGCCAAGTTTGAAGACCCCTGGTATGAGGGATCCTTGGTGCTCTCTGAACTTGGTTGTTTTCTTGCAGGCATTTCATTATTCAAACTAGATAACATCATCAGTACATTTTTAATAGGTATTATATCATAATTTGTAGTTTTAAAAACAAACAGACACAGCATTCCTTTATATATGCAATATGTTTTCAGGACTCATTTTTCTACACTTACAGAAACTTGCCCTCATTCATTGCTACAAATATGTGCAGTGCCTAAATCCATTTTTGTGCATCTTTTAAATAAATCCCCTTAAATTTCTGTTTCTTTCTTTTTGTAGACTTAAAATAAATCTTCTTTCCAGTTTGCAAAGTTAGCAAATGATAGGAAAATAGATAATTCCTAGGCTCTGGAACTGTCCTTTTTAATGCATATTTTAACCAATTTGCACTTTCAATTAGTCTTGGAAAGTTGTCTGAATGTCAAAACTGTGTGTTCCTTTTACTAATCTATCACCACCGCAAACTTTTAAACTGAATGATCTCCTTTTGTGATTTTTTTCCAGCTCCTTATGTGACTTATCTAAATAAAGACCCAGCAGCTCCATGCTCTTTGACAGAGGCACTAGATCACTTCCAAGTAGAGAGCCTGGATGAACTTGTTCCCAATAACTTAAAGAATACAGGGATGCAACCTCCAAAGACTCCTCACAACATCACCATAGTAGCTGTGGAAGGCTGCCATTCTTTTGTGATTGTTGACTGGGCTGCACCTACCCATGGAGATCTGGTAACAGGTACACTAATGCTTGTTGCAAAGGTTGGACTGGTCATAGAGGCTGAATTGAACAGAACTTTTTTATTATTTCTTGTCTGCATTTTATTTTGCAATAAATTCCCTGATGCCTTTCATTCAATCATATTCCAGGTTTCTTTCCAATACGAAATAAATTTTGGCCTAAATTACAGAGCTAATCTCTTTTTAAGATGACTAAATAAATAAAACGTGTCTTGACATGCAACTGAAAAATTATAATGTGAGGATCAGTCTCTCTACTTTATACACGTTGTTTTTGAGAGGCTTTATTGATTGATCCCTTCCTCTTATAAATATACATCAGACTTCAACATCTGATAGTACTTGGAAAAGGCTCTCATTTGAGGATACATAGGCAGTCTTGTATGTGTTCTACATTTTGCTTTCATAAAAACTGCTAATTTATTTTCTGGATTCAGAACCCCTTTTACTTGATGGGAAAGTCCAGAAGCTGCTAAAGAGGTAGGAAATTACAGTGTTGAAGGATTCAATACCCTTAGAAGCCTAAGATCACTTATCTATGGCTATTATTTTCTTCCTCCACTAATACAAATTTATTTATTGACACCATCAAGTCAGTCTTGACTTCTAGCAAATGCCCGGACTAGTCCTTGAGTCTTCTTGGCAAGAGCTTTAGGAGTGGCTTGCTATTGCCTTCTTCTGGGGGCTGAGAGAATGTGACATTAGGAATGTGGACCTTAGGATTTTTCAAAGGTTTATAGGAGCCATATGATCTTGGGAAAAGGTCCGATGCTTTAATGATGCACATTTTGAAGCATTTTTTCTGATAGAATCCAAAGTGTTCTACATCTTTATTGAACATGGGCATAGTTAATGCACATAAATAGCTAATGCCTACTTGCATGATGTTGATTGCGCCCTGTTCCCCACCTAGCTTTGCTGCCATGTCTTCTTGGCAGAAAAAGGAATTCTTTCCAACTTTGAACATATGATGCTGCATGATGTATTAGGCTACTGAAGTACACTGGAGTCTAATAAATCCATGTCATCTTTTTTTTGACAGGTTATTTAGTTTACAGCGCATCCTATGAAGATGTCATTAGGAACAAATGGTCAACCAAGAGTGCAGCAAGCACTAATTTACCCATTGAAAACCTGAAGCCAAATACAAGGTATTATTCCAAAAGACACGATTTGGAGGGGTGGGAAGGGAAATGGATATAGAAACATATTTACAGTTGAAAGATGTCTTGGAAATCATCATATCTAACACACACATACCACACCCATCCTGCAGTGCAGAAATCCATGTCTTAACCATTTGAAGTCAGGAACTGAGTAGGCTTTCAGAAATCCCATAACCGTTATGAATCCAACTCAGTCACCAAGTCGATCTTGGATTTGTACCAGCTCTTTTATCTGCTACTTAATCTCCTCCTGTACCCTTTCACAAGTTATCAAAGTTGCAGGAGGAACTGAAAATATCATGTGTTTTCTTTGTACTCCTAAATAATTTACCCAGATGAATAGGAAGGACAGTGTCCAGAATCTCTGATGAGCACAAAGATTTAGGCAGACTCAAAAAAATTCAGCATGGAAAGTTAACTTAAACTTGATTTTTGCCTCCCCTTCAAATGTACTTGCATCAAGGGCTATGATGTCATAATGTAAGTGATGCCATTTTGTACGTTGTCATTGTGATATCATTATGGCTTGTTATGAATACCACTGCTTGTGTCCTCTTTTCCACTAAGCTCCAGTATTCTCCACTTGGAGTCTTTCATTGGAGACCAAAGGTGCCTTTCAAAAGGCAACTGGAAAGAAAGTCCAGTAGCCTTTTGAAAAGCACTTTTGGGACTACGATGATCTGGATGATTGAGTATCTCCATAGAGTTTCATTGGAGCATTTTGTAGCTGTTAAGCATTTTCCCTCTGCTCCTTGTTGGGCACAATCGTTTTTGTACCCACAGTGCTGAGAATAAGGCCAAGCATCTGAGTCTAACAATACCCAATTGTGGGGGGATGTTGTAGGCAAAGATGTTCATCTTTCAGAATCTGGGGAACGATCCGGAATCACAACAACATATTAAAAAATGTAGCAGTGACACTAGCATATGAGGAACTCATTAATACCAATAAAGGAGAACATGTGTAGTGATGGAATCAGAGACCAATCATTGCAGGTGTAAAGATGTCTGACTGCCTTCGCAGTGTTTATTGCTTTTTTACAGTTTTTCTAAGCAGCATAAGATAAAATAGCAACAGCATTTTTATTGGTGGATTCTCCTCGCCAATCCTTAAGAATATATCAGCCAGGGGGCACCAGCCAGGGGCAGTGTTCTGCAACATCCTGGTGGTGTGAACTTGGTGAGATCATGTAGGTATTTGGGCCGCGGCAGTGTGCTGCACACGGCCTCTACATGACCTCTCTCTCTACAGTGTAGCTCAGACGTGAAATGAGGGACCCTTGGTGCTCTCTGAGCTTGGTTCAACCAAGCTCAGAAAGCACCAAGAGCTCATTTGTACTCAAGTCATTCTGCTCAGTTGCTTATATTTGTTAACCAAGTTACTCCCGCTCTAGATTGTATAATAAGGAAACAGAATTTCAGGATAGGATTGAAGCCTTTGTCTTTTCTTTGACAGCTAACTATCATCTGCACCACCAGTGCAGTGTTTCTCCCAGGCAAACATAGCCCCTTGTCTTGTGACTTTAAAATTGCCCCTCAACCACTGTAAAATTTCTGCAATTTAGCAACCTGAACTGGGAGTTTAAGCTAGCTTCAGTCCATGTGTTGATGATTATGTGCAGATTGTGAGGAAACTCTGATTCACAGAAACTGAGCTGCCTGCAGTGCGGTCCTCCCACTTTGTTGTGGTTCCTGATTGAAGGATCTTATGCCTACTTGTTCAATTGAGTTTTAGACTGTTGCTTGCTAAATACCTGGATAAAGTATTTTTTTATCTGTGCAGTCATTCATTTAGTATAAATTTTAATATAGCCAGAAATAGATTAAAATATACAAATAACTGACACACCATTGTTTTAATGCAATACAAGAGTTAAGATTTTCTTCTTCTTCTTGCTTATTATTATCCTCTGTACCTTCTAAGCTCTGCAGCCGTTTGATAGCTGCCTTCTAACACCTCAGATCTTACCTACTTAAAATTCACACTTAGCAACATGTAAAAATAATCTGTAGACACTTAAGTAGAAGCATAAACACCTTCATGTTGAGCTTAATTCCTGATTACTCTTTCCCGCCGACGTTCGTGGCAGTGTTACACCAGTAATTTGCTGTGTTTTTCCAACTTTCCAGTCTAGTCAGAAGCTCTGGAATTCCCAGGCGTTCCTCCATCCAACTTCTAATCAGGGCCAATCCTGTTTAACCAAGGATCAGCCAAGGTTGGCTAAAAAAATTTGGAACTCAGAATCATGATGGATTGTGCTAAATCTCGAACTATGTTGCAAATTGCTTAATCTATCAAGTTTAAAATACTTTGCCATCGTGTTTATACTGTATTTATTTCTCTGAAAGGAAGAGTATGGTTTTATTTTTAATATAATTTACTTTTAAAATGGATAGGTTGTCTCAGCTATCCAGAGCATCTATAAACTGAAATATTTTATTATTTTAAAAAGTTGCCCTTCTTAAACAAAGTCAGTTGCTTTCTTGTAACTAGGATCCCTCCAATTTGCAATTTTGCAATTGCAACTGAATGCTGCTTTATATATTCAGATTTTGGGTAAAATTCAACTTTAAATACTCCTTAGAGTTTTCTTATTCTACTATGATTCTTTCTTAATTAATTTTTATTTTACAGTATTGGAAGACAAGGAATATTGTGTCTAGACTGATCTGTATTTTTTCTTTTTGGAAAACAGACTACAGGATAGGTTTTAAATAATTAAACCAGATCTGTGGATCAAATAATATATTTTAATATTTTCTTCAATTAAAATTAAGGAATTTGTTTTTGCTTTCCATCATATTGGAACTCTGGCAATATAAAGTCACCATTAATGAATTTCAGAAGTAGTAATCAAGTCCAAAACCAAATAGGAATTATAATACTGTGTGCAATTCAATTAATTACTTGATTTATCTTCGACTAGACTAGACTAGACTAGACTAGACTACAATAGAATAGAATAGAATAGAATAGAATAGAATAGAATAGAATAGAATAGAATAGAATAGAATAGAATAGAATAGAATAGAATAGAGCTGGAAGGGACCTTGGAGATCTTCTAGTCCTGCCCCCTGCTGAAGCAAGAGAACCTATACTATCTCAGACAAGTGATTGTCTAGCCTCTTCTTGAAAATCTCCAGTGATGGAGCACTCATGATTTCTCAAGGCAAGCTGTTTCACTGGTTAATTGTCCTCACTATCAGGAAGTTTCTCCTTAATTCCAGGTTGCTTCTCTCTTTGATCAGTTTCCAACCATTGTTTCTGGTTCTGCCCTCTGGTGCTTTGGTGAATAATGTAACCCCCTCTTCTTTGTGGCAGCCCCTCAAATACTGGAATACTGCTATTATGTCTCCCCTATTTCTTCTTTTCTTTAGACTAGCCAAACCCAAATCCTGCAGCCGTTCTTCGTATATTTTAGTCTCCAGGCCTTTGATCATCTTAGTTGCTCTTCTCTGAACTTTTCCAGATTCTCAATATCTTTTTTTGTGATATGGTGACCAAAACTGGCTGCAGTATTCCAGGTGTGGTCTTACTAGGGTTTTATAAAACGGTATTAATACTTCGTGTATTATTGATTCTATGCCTCTGTTTATACAATCCAGGATTATATTAGCTTTTTGGGCTGCTGTTGCACACTGCTGGCTCATAGTCAAGTGATCGTCTACTAGGACTCCAAGGTCCCTCTTACAATCACTGTTTTTAAGTCAGGTCTCGCCTAATCTGTACTTGTACCTTTGATTTTTCCTGCCTAAATGTAAGACACTGCTTTTCTTCACATTGAAATTCATTTTGTTGGATAGGGCCCATTGTTCAAGTTTGTCAAGATCTTTTTGGATCCTGAGTTTGTCTTCTGGGGTGTTGGCTACTCCTGCCAGTTTGGTATCATCTACAAATTTGATGAGTTCCCCTTCAATTCCCTCATCTAAGTCATTTATGAAGATATTGAAGAGTACTGGGCCTAAGACAGAGCCCAGTGGTACCCCACTGCTTACTTCTCTCCATGTGGATGTAGTGCCATTGAGGACTACTCGTTGAGTACAGTTTGCCAGCCAGCTACAGATCCATCTGGTGGATATGTTGTCTATTCCACCTTTTTCTAGCTTATCAAGGAGTAGGTTGTGGTCTATTTTATCAAATGCCTTACTGAAATCTAAGTATGCTACGTCCACAGCATTTTGCTGGTCTACTAGTTTAGTCACTTTATCAAAGAATGAAATAAGATTGGTTTGGCATGATCTGTTTTTAACAAACCCGTGTTTGTTATGGCAGTTCTTTTTCTAATTACTGAATGTAATTTTTGTCCAAAAATGAATCATTTACGATGTTTTCAATATTAGTTTTTTTATTATTATTTCTCTTCAGCCCAACTTCTAGTCTGAAGTCCTAGGACCTGAACTGTATTCATATCAGATTTGTCTGTAAAACAATTAGAAATTGAAGAGGATGTTGGCAATGGGATTCACCCAATTTTGGGTGGCATTTTCTCTGTCAAAGACTGTTATTTAAAAAGATCAACTGGGAAATTATAGAAGTCTTTCCCCAAAATTTCTATATTGATGAGGCTACTTACTAGAGTAGCCTCTAGAGAAGTGAAACACCTGTAAATAAAAAATCAAGCTTAAAGAACCCCTACAATACCACAATTCTTCTATTAAAATGTCCTTATATTGCATTATGACTTTGTGCCTTAGAGTTTGTGCCTTTGAAGATCTGTGTGCCTTCAAATCACTGTTAATTCCTAGTGACCATCTAAACTAGTTCCTGTAGGGTTTTTTTTGTTTTTTTTTGGAAAGATTTTCAGAGGTAGTTTGTCACTGCAATCTTCCAGGAGCTGAGAGTGACTGGCCCAAACTTTCTTTGTGCCTAACGCAGTACTAGAACTCAAAGTTTATCTTTAATAGTTTCTCTTTTCCTTCAATATGAGAATTTATAGCCCTTTCAATTCCATGGTTCTGAGAGTTTTGAAAGGACACCTACCTTTCATTTGGATATTTGAGAATATGGCAAGTGTTAATATATAATTCATTGATCAAGGGATGTACTTCTCTTTCTTCCAAACAATCTGAAGTGGCTGGGCCTAAATACATGTGCAGAGGCAGCTTTTGGATATTATGTCAACTGGACATTTATCAAAATAATATATTTTCCTACAGTTAATCACAAGTTTCAATGCATGTCTTGCCATAAAATCAATGTTCTTGGGAAATAAGACTTTTTGGTAACATATTATTATTGTTGCTGTTCTTCCTCAAAAATTAATTGTTTACATTTTAAGTTTCTTCGCTAATTTTCCTCATGTCCATTTCATTCACATAAAGTATCTTGGCTGCATGTGCCCTGGTTAGATAACAATGCATGTAGAACAACCGAGGGCTTAGTTTAAACCAGATATCAGACAGTTTATCTTTCCAGCTCAGAATTAAAATAAGGCCGGCAATTGGAGCCGCTCAAATTGACAAGGTGGCTTTTATATACATTACAAGGGATATGCAGAAGACTATTTTTATTCACCAGATTTTTCTTTTGCCCCCAACTCTTTGGGAAGATATTGATACATCTCCTTCCAAAGAAAGTATGGGCTAATTCATGGATGTGCCCATGCCACAGAATTTAATATGGCTGTTTAACATTTGATGACTTCCATCTGTCTACATCAACCAATCTCACAGAAAGTAAACATAGTGCTTGAGATAATGCCGGATATTTAAACACTTCACCTATTGTGTTTCACCACTGTCTGCTCTTTGCTCATTATCAAATTTTGTTGGTTCTTGCATGGTTTCATGACTGAATAAAACTTTTTGATGAAGCTATCATTAGAAGTGCCTCAAAAAAACCCAAGGTGTATTTAATATCTTTTGTGGAACTTTTCAGCATTCCTTCTAAAGCCTGTTCGGAATTTGTCTAATTATATTACCATAAGCTGTTATTATTCTGCCATTTTAATGGATGCTCATTTTCTCTCTTTCCTTGATTTAGGTATTACTTTAAGGTCCAAGCAACGAATCCATATGGTTATGGTCCTATAAGTTCATCTATCTCCTATGTCACTGAATCTGGTATGGTGGTTTCATATAATATTAAAATATAAAACAAGTTTTAAACTGCACTGTCAACCAGAATCCAATGTGTATTAAGACTTCAGAATAAAAACAAAGGACAACAGGAATATTCAAAGGACTATACAGTAAAGGAGGAGGAATAATGTTAAGAAATAAAGACAGCTTTGCCCAACCTGAACTTTCTTCAGATATGTGGGTTTATTTCTAAACTTCTCCGGCCAGAATGGCTATTGTTGAGAATTCTGGGATTTGAATTTGCACATCTGGACAGTACCAATCAGAGGGGGCTGGTTAAGAATCAAAGTAATGAAAACAAAATAACAAAGTGCTGATTGTCTCCGGCCAAACAGGAGTGAGTTTGTGCTTCAGGTTTGGTTTTTTCTATGCAGAGAGCCAACATCAATGTTTTCTAATAGCTTCTCAGGTTGCCCAATGTGGATTTAGTCTTTGCTATCCTGGTAATAAAGAAAATGAATGGCAGACCAGTTCTATTTTCTTCTCAGGAAAACTACATGGCTGTTTCCATTAGGTCATCAGGGGTCAATCTCAGCACAAAAAAAAGTTTACCTATATATTTTTACCCTGATAGTGGAAAAAAGATTAAATTAAAAAATGAAAAGAGGAAATTCCATTTCTGCTGCTTGCAGAATAGTTTTTCTTTCTTTCTTTTAATCCTGAGCAGATGAGTAATTTGAAGCAATTGCGTCTGCAAAAAAAGTTTGGGAAACAATTTTTCTTTTAGATTTTTCCTCCTTCTGGGTTGAAGCTTGTTTTCATTTCATAAAGCTGATCCTGTTCTTTGAAATCAAAGGCTTTTAAATAATTTCAAAATATGTCCAGTGATAGACATGTTTTTCCATGCTATTTTTACTTGCAAGGTTGAGCATAGGTCATTTGGCACAATGTAACAACAAAACACAATGGGGTTGACACCTTAAACTAACTCTGGATAACTCCAAGGTTATTTTTCCCCCTAACCTTAGATTCTTGAGTTCCTGACTTGGAATTCATGTACTGTGGCGTTTTCAGGCTTGCCACATTAGGGTGGGGTCACTCATGAATCTTGACTGACAAGAGAAGACAACATACAGGCTATCCTCTGGACAAGTGAACCAGGGCGTATCCTGTGTTCTCCTTTTTATTTTGCAACATACATGAGGAAGTGTTCAGTAACTTTGCTTTGCATTAAATGTAGATTTATTGTCAGGTTCTGACAATAAATCTACATTTAATGCAAAGCAAAGTTACTTGACCATAGCAGAAAATCCCAACAATGTACATAACTATCTTTCAAAAAATCTGCCTCCAAATCAATTTAATAGTTCTTGTTATGGATTTAGAGTAGGAATCTTTGCATATGTGGGATGTAAAAGTAATGTCCAATTGAGTACTCCCACATTGATTCCTGGACAAAATGAGTTGAAGCCTTAATTCAGGGGTGTCAAACTCGCAATGTCATGTGACATGTCGTGACGTATCGCGACCTTTTTTCCATTGCCAGCAATGGGGTGGGCGCGGTTTCGGCATGACACAGCCAGCCCGTGGGCCAGCAGTTTGACACCCCTGCCTTAATTAGTTAGCACCTATATCTGCAAGGGAATCAACAGGTCTGCTTGACAAAGACAGCAATTACATCATTGTACTGCAAGCCCTGCCCTTTTTGTGTATATACACAGTGAGGTCCCGTGCACATGAAAAGAGGCACAGACTGAAGCATGGAGCAGTGATGTTGTTTCCCTAATTGTCTTGAAAGCAACAGGAGCCTGCAGATACTTAGGTTGATTAGATTGATTAAAAGAGACTTTTAAAATAAGCTTTTACACTTACTAAAGAATCATTTCACTGAATTAGTAGTAAATGTATATTCTATTAATACCAGTATTTTAATAAAGAGCCTGTGTAACTATCATATGATTACCATCCATGGCAGTGAAAAGTTCAGATATGGAAATTTCATTGTCAAAAATAGAATAAAATCGCAAAGCAGCTGGAGCACCACTTGATCACCATCAGCATTGATAAGGTCACCATCAGTCATTTGCAAAATGCAGCTTGCTTAGAACAGCTTACATCTTGCAACAATAACCTTTAATACCATCAAATAATATCTACCTATCCCAGGTCCATGGGAAAGGCTCAGCTGGTGGATAAAATGCCTAATCCATTCTAAACATCTGGCTGACTGTGCAACAAACCATATTAATTTATTAAACTTGTATGCTGCCTGACTCTCAATGGCTGGGCAGCTCACAGCAATAAAAAACTACAATAAAATCAATAAAAAAGAGGTAAAATATGGTAAGTGCAATGAAGAAAGGGATGTAGTGTATGTAGAGACTTTAAAAGAAAAAGCCAAGGAAGAGGAGTCAAAGGAGATGATGTTTAATGATTATATATTTTAAAATAGTGGAGAAATTACAAAGGATAGCACTGCTTCAGGTCTCCTTCATCAGAGATATTAAGAGGAGTGGGAGCATAAAATAAAATAAAATAAAATAAAAAATGACCCTCCAGTGTAAGAAGGTGGTAAAAATGCTGCTGTTTTGTCAGGTTTTTTTGAAGTATGTCATACTGTTTTTAATTTCATTTGTTGCTTTAATTGATTTCTATATGATATTGTATGTGAGCCATTCAGAGTTTATGAAATTAAGCAGGATACGAATTATACAAATAAACAAGATTTAGAAATTACCTGTTGTCATATTTTGGCTGAGGATGCTGAATTTTAGAGTAAATAATTGAAACATTTCCTTGTTATTTCCTTTCAGATAATCCTCTTCTTATTGTCAGACCTCCAGGTAAGTCTCAGTTTTGCTTTCTGGTGCTTTGTTACTTTCTCCTGAGAGTGGCATAGATTAAAATTGTGATTTAATATCTATGATGACGAGGAGAGGAGAGGAGAGGAGAGGAGAGGAAGGAAGGAAGGAAGGAAGGAAAGGCAGGAAGGAAGGAAGGAAGGAAGGAAGGAAGGAAGGAAGGAAGGAAGGAAGGAAGGAAGGAAATCAGTGGAAATCAAAGTTTGGAAGAGTATCCTCACCTTAAGAACCCTTACAGCATAATCGCAGAACTTTATTTAGTTTGAGAGCCACACTTGCTCTTGAAATAATGAAATGACAGGTGTTAAGTCAGGACAGCTTCTTCACAATTCTCTAACCATTGCATGAATATACTACAGTTACTCCTTTTTTCTGCTGTGTCTCATGATGTTGCCTTTGTCTCATCCACCTCTACTATCTGAGGGAGCCTGTTCCAAAGTAATATTTTCTCTTTTCTCCCAACATATCATTGACTGTCAACCTGATCTGGCATGCTTCATTGATGCATGACATTCAGGAATTAGGATTCGTTCAGGTCCTATTGATCACTTAGGCTTCTGAGAGCCACACACACACCCCGCTCCAAATGTATACAATAATGGGCAGTAGGAATAACTTGGAGGAACCAGTGAAAAAACCACAACCAAGACAATGGTTAGATAAAAGGAATTTGAGTCCAGGACAGAAATATAATTTGAGTAGCATCTCAGACATGTTCCTTCCTAATTCTCATAAAGATAAAGGGAGAAAGAGGGGAAGCACACATTCAGAGATGCAAGATTCTTTACTGTGGCATCATCATTATCATTATCCTCTTCCTCCTCCTCCTCCTCCTCCTCCTCATCATCATCATCATCATCATCATGTATTAGCATTCATACCTCTAGCATCTTAGTCTAGTCTACCTTAAAAATGACTAGTGGATAGCATTTTAATGGAGCCATCTGAAGGAGACCTACACTTTGTTTAATCCAGTTTATTATAATTAGATTAGACTAATTAAAATTTAAGGACTATCAGTATAATTGTCTCTCTATACAATTAGTCATTTTGCTTTCTGTCACACTAAAAGTTCCAATATAACATCAAAATTTGACGGAGTGGCTACACTCCAGAAAACTCCAAGGAGTTCATCAGTTCTTAGAGTAGAGGAAGAGCAGAATTCTATGTCTGTTTGTCAAGTTAGTAAACAATATTTCAGGTTAGTGACTTTTGTGTGTTTGTTACAGTTCTAGAAGCAATCTAGATAGAATATTGCAGTGCATCTTTCCTTATATAATTCAAGATAATGACTGCTTAACTTGACACTTAATATATTTTTAGCACAATGTTATCATACAATGGATTAAAATTGTGTCTTGGAATCATAATTTGTTCCTGGGTTTTCATGTTTAATATTTAAAATGCAGAAAGTGCCAAATAATTCTTGCAAGTTGTTTTGAGTGCCTAACAGAAACCATATGGCTGGCTTCACAACTGCAACTGTAGTGGTATATGGTCGATTTCACTGGCACCTCTTCATGGGAAACCACTCTGCTGATGAAGAGCACAAGAATGTGGAATGTTGTGATCCAGATTCATTGTATAGGTCTCTTTCTCCTTTCCTTTTTCTCCTTTTTCAAATAACATTGTGGCTGAAATGCTAGGAAAAGTGAGAAGCTTGGCGTAGAAATTTCAGTCAGAGCTCAATGGGCTTATCTTTGCATGTTATTCGTCATTTGAAGTCTGTCTATAGGCTTAAGCCTTTTTCCAAGTTGAAAAGGCCAAATAGTGCTGTGGTAGGTGTTTCCCCTCCTTTAAAAAAAATATGATTCTCAAGCCATGGGACCGCTGCCACCAGTGCAAGAGAGCAGAGAATATAGGGAAAGCTCGTATTTTAGAAGCAAAAGCCATTGTAAGCAAGAATACACTTTTATGTGCTATTATATTACCTGCTAGATCAGATGCTTAAATTGGAAGTATTTTGTGCAAATTAACCTAATGATTTCCTGCACTGATGCAGGCAGCGGTCTCTCCCACACACATAGACTACCCTGATTTTTAAGGCTGAGAAGGCAGTTCTCCGGTGTTTTCTTTTGTACTTCTAAACTCTAATAATTTTAAAAATTAGGAGAGTCCATTCGTGCTTAAGTTTACATGCCAGAGCACACAGGCTGCAAAATAAGAACAGTTGATTTCAAAAAGACAGATAATTCCTATAATCTTTTGGAGCGTATTGTAGGTTGCCAGATTTTGTGGTGAATGTTGAATACACATTGAAGAGTTTCTTGGTCCATGGTGCCCAGATTGTGGTTTGCTGTGTAACCATTCAGACTTCGAATGAAGGCAAATATACGTGTCCCAGGATAATGTTGCAGGATCCAATCTGGGTTGGTCACCAGGACCAGAGTTTAGCCTTCTGAGCTTTTGGACTTGTGCTGGAGCCCATCTTCAGGGAATTTCTCTCTAGTAGAATGTGTTATTCAGGCTTATTATTCATTCAGACTCCTTCCAGACAATTTGCAGTGGTATGGAGAGCCATAATGAAGGAAACAAAAAGCTTCCTCACCATTTAGTAATCTACTTCCACTTATATCACTTATGGGTGCATGATCACTTCCGAATCAAAGTAAATCCATTTTAGTAGATTGTGTACTGGTCTGGTCAAGTAGTAACATTTAGTAAGTTATTCTTAAGTTAATATGATCATATTTCATAGTCAAGATTTTAATCTGTTTTGTAGGTGGTGAACCCATCTGGATCCCATTCAATTTTAGATACGATCCTACATACTCAGAATGCAGTGGAAAACAATATGTGAAACGGACGTGGTACAGGAAATTTGTAGGTGTTGTTCTTTGTAATTCATTGAGATACAAGATTTACCTCAGTGATGATCTAAGAGGTATGTATTTGATCTGTCAGCGCTGGAGTAAGATATAGTAAAGCCTCAAAAATAAATGTGATTACCTTGTATGATTAAAATGTATCCAAACTATTGGCTGGAGTACAGTAAATAGTTCAGTCTTTTTTGCCCATTTCTTTTAATCCTATCCAAGATATATACTGTATTGAAAACACTTTGGATTGTCTCCCAGTCAGTTTTAATAATTTGGGGTAATCTGAAATTCTATTATTTGAGTTCTCTATCCACTTTCAAGTGAGTGAGATGCAGCAGGAACAAAACAAAAGCCATATTTTGCAGTGTTAAAATTTTGATTTGGGCCCCCCTACAAAGAGTTGCAATCCTGTGTCTTAGTAGGCTATGGTATCATTCCATAATGCTTTGGTTTGAACAGTGCTATGTCCTAGTAAGATCATTCAAGACAAATAGATTTACACTTTGTCACATAATACAAAATATCAGTTCAGTTTCAATCATTTCAGCTAAGTTCACCACAGTTTTGGAAATTTGGAGATTTCTCATTCCCTCACAATCTTTGAAAATCTGAGAACTACTACTTTATTTTCAGCAAGTGCATAATGAGATGCTGTAATGTTTTAACTCAGATCTAAATGGAATCAGTCCTATCGTTTTAAAAGGAAACATTGCATATCAGAACCAGACCAAGAAGCAACAATTGTGTTTTAATTTTTAAATCATTATAGAAAACATTTTAAATGGATTGTTTTTAGGGGGAAATGCTTAAAATAGTATGTGTGTAACCTAGAAGTGATTTTTTTTTAAAAAAAAAGTTATCATACAGTAGAAACAGAATGAAGTGGACTTAAGGGTTTACACATGGGGGGAAAACTGCCTGGAAATAAACTCATTTACTCATCTCTAATTGTAATTCTTAGACTTGGTTCTGTTCAATGAGTTAGAGAAGAATATTTCTGTATACATTCATGTATGCATTTTTGTATCATCTTCTGTTTTATGTGGAATAAGAATACTGCTACCTCATTTTAGTGCAAGTTCTTAATTTTATACATATTTATTGCTCCTAACACATTGAAAAAAGGTAACCACGATACAAAAAGAGTGCTGCCAGCCCAATGGCAAATGTGCCACTTGAAGGCAAGAAACTTTAACCGTGATTCTCAGCCAACTATTTTTGACCGAATGCAGGAATGTTGGCAAGGACAACTGGTTCACTTTCATACTGTGCCAGTGGATTATTTCATTATAATGCTCCTATTATTGCAGAAATTCATAAATATAATAAATAAGTTACTACCAAGGAAGGAACAGGAGATTCTTCTCTCTGGATTTATAGTCTTGGCTGCAGCAAACCCATTCTAAGTGCTTCTCACCCTCTTCACTTTTTTCCAGATATGTTTTACAGCATTGGGGATAGTTGGGGAAGAGGTGAAGATCACTGTCAGTTTGTAGATTCACACCTGGATGGACGAACAGGACCACAGTCCTATGTGAATGCTCTGCCTCCTATTCAAGGTAAAAAATAAGTGCAACATTAATTTGATGGGGGTCTGGAGATTTACATTCCATACAAGTTGTAGAATAAAGGCAGTTTATGCCTGGTTCTTCAAAAACTGTGATTTTTGTAATACTAAAGTTGGACTTTCTGTTCCCAGGTCCCCCCAATGCATCAGCAAATGTGTTCAGGCAGTTCAGTATTATAAGCCAGTCTTCCCTCAATGTACTCTCCACATCTGTTGGGGTGTCAATTCCCAACCAGCAACAGAATTAGAGACGGAACACATTAGCAAAGCACCACGCTGGGGAAGCTTATGGCAAATTATTTCATTTCCAGTCTAGGCAGTGACTGGCAGACTTTTTAGAACCTTGGCATTTTAGCACGTAAAAGGAAATAATTACTGAAATGCTAGTTTCATGCTGTACTTTGCTTTCTATGCAAGAGTGAGTGATCCAGATAGGGCTGACTACGGAGAAGAATCACAAAATACCCTGAAGTAATGGACATAGCATAGAAGACAGCATTTCAGGTAGCCCTCCATCCATGTGGAAAGGAGTGCTGAGAATTGTTAACATTTTAAACATTCCACTTCTTTCTACCGGCTTGTCTATCATTTGAAAATGGTTATCTTTGATTCCTTTTGATTTCTTAATTTTACCCTTTTTTATTGCTAGCACTGATATTTCTGCCTTCTGTGTTCTCTTCTTTCCATTGGTCATCTATGATTGGTGGGGCAGAGCCAGAACGCACCTCTGCAACTTTTTTCAGGTTGCAAGAAAAATAGCAATAGCAATAGCACCTAGACTTATATACCACTTTACAGCCCTGTCTAAGCAGTTTACAGAGTCAGTATATTGTCCCCAACAATCTGGGTTCTCATTTTACCAATCTCAGGAGGATGGGAGATTGAGTCAACCTTGAGCTGGTGAGAATCAAACTGCTGAATTGCTGGCAGCTGGCAATTGGCAGAATTAGCCTGCAATACTACATTCTAACCACTGCACCTTCAAGGCTCTTAATGCTATGATCTGCTAAAACACTAGTGTAATTTTATTTAGCTGGCAAGAGCCATTCCTACTTTAATACAAAGGACATGAAAGCATTATTGGTATTAGTGGTACATCAGAACAGGACACAGCTGTCTCTGCCTATTAGTTTGGAATAAGTCCCACTAACATGTGAAATGGCAAACTTGTATTATGTGATACATATTGTTTCTGTCTCTTCAAATCGGCATATATTACTTTGGGTTGTTCTAATTCTCACAATAACCCAGACAGTGCCTTGGAATATGCACTCAAGCAATTTTTAGAATGGAAATGCAGTTATGCAACATATTTCTCTGGCCCTTATCTTGTCAGGCACAAGCAATGTGCACGTGAAGGGTGTAGGTTGGCTAGTTTATTGTATTCTAGTTATAATACAAAAATCTGCTCAGACTGCTTGCCTTCTCTTGGGAACAAACAGATAAGGTGCCATGGAACTTAGGAGAACTTAGGACTTTTGTGGATGCGCAATGACTCAAGACTAATTCCCTGCTTGATCCCTCCCTTTTGTCTGGCTGGTAGTTTTCCAACTGATCTACAGTTATAGAAGGAGATCTGTGTGGCAGATTGGTAGGGTATAAATGTAAAGATCTATCTGGATTCAACAGCTTTCTTTCAGATTTGAAGTACCAGGCACCACTTCTTGCAGTAGCCAAGAAAGGAAACCTAAACAATGAATTAATGAGTGAAAGAACTTCTATGTGTCAGAAAGAAAATAGGCTGGCCCCACACCACTACCATTTGTTTCAGAAAGGGGCCTTCAGTCAACAGCAAAACTGGAAAAATCTGTAATGTAGAAAGAGAAGTAACCAAAGATCAAGTGAAGCACAGGATTATTGTTAGCAGAGGCTATGCAGCAAAAAAGATGAAGAGGAAGAAGAGCTGGTGATACACGCCAATAAGAAAGTTCACAAGAATTGCAAGCCAAGAAACTTTACTTCCCTTCTACTTCAAACCTTCTGTATACAGTAGAACAGTACAAACTGTATTTAAACTGCTTCTAGAACAGGATACGTTTTATGCCATAAGGAATAACACAAGGAAACAATTGGATTTTTCTGAGGAATGCTCAGTTAGCAAGGTGTATCTCACTTATTTTCCCCCATCTCCATTTTCTTTACAGTAATTAAGTAATTATTGAACTAAAATTAAAATTATTAAGTAAAATTAATAGTTACATCCCTCAAGGTTAAGATAGTAACTTCAATATTTTGGTTCCTTCAGGTTATTACCGCCAGTATCGACAAGAGCCTGTATCATTCGGACGCATTGGCTTTATGACACCCTATTACTATGTGGGCTGGTATGAGTGTGGTGTAACAATTCCAGGGAAGTGGTAGCTGTGCTACGGTCCTCTGCAGATCGTAACCACAACTTTTGAATAACTACCATTGAAGGACTTGGAGCAACTGCATCTGGGAATGAAAGAAAACAAAAATCCCTCAAAGAAGAAACAAGAGAAGCTCACTGGAACTCAATGATGTCCTTATCCTAAATCAATGGTGCTGCTTGGTTATTTTGCTTCAGGACATATATAGGATGAATTTGGGGTTGTCCTGCCTTTTTCTCCTTGGTTCTAATAGGCCTGGGGACGTAACTGAAATGAGCAGTTATCTATGCTCAGTGAAGCCTAATATATTTGATTAACCACACAGAAAAAAATGGAATTGTGATATATCTTGCAAGAAGATGACTTAAGCATGCTGTGCTTGCATTATGGAATGTTAACCACTTTCCACTGCTATTAATAGAATTCTTTGTTGTTATCCACTTTGGGTTGTGAGCTTCAGAATGTTAGCTTACAGCTGCACTATGTTACAAAACGCCCCTGAAAACCAAATGGAAGTGTTGCTCACAGCTTCTTCTGGGGGTTTGCACATTGCTGAACAAAATACCAGGTCACTCTGTAAATTCAGCTAGCACAAACAATGAACAACCAGTACACTATAGTTGCAGAAATACTTTTTAAACTGAGATTGTGTAAAGAAAAGAATTTAGATAAATACGTTTATGGGTTAATGTTTATGTAAAAGGTGCTATTCATAACAAGTCTTCTGAAAATATTCTGTGAAAAATATACTATGCACAATACATTAATCATACATGACTCAGGCTTTTATTCTTGTAGATGGTGTTGAATTATAATGAAATAGAAAACAGAAAAACAACAAGAAAAAAATGGGAAATTTCATCATCAAACTATTGAGTATGGCATGTTTCAGCAACAGTGGGTTATTTGGTCCATATTCTAATGTGGCTAAAATTCCAACTTCAGTATAAATTTAACCAAGTGTACATTAAAGGTACTTTAGATGCTTTTTACACTCTAAATCACAAACTTACTTAAGTGGAATAGAAAGAGAGTTTGATTTCAGTGAAGTATGCTTAATCTGTCATATTATGTACATTTACACCAAAGAAGGCTACACAAAATCATGTCAGAAGAGTTAAAAAATTAATTCTACCTCTCTCTTCCCTTGCCCACATGGCCTCAGACATACCCTCTTTTCCAAGGTGGTGATTTTTAATATTTAATATCACAACTAGTATACTCTGTCCCCTGGCTGCACATGTGCTTAAATTTGAAAATTTAGATTGAACATCAAGCCTTCAGTTGCTGAAAACTTTTTAGTCTTTTTCAAACACATATTTATTTAACCTAAAAATCAAACTCTGAGAATTAATTCCACCAACCTGGTCAATTTGAGGCTTATTTTTCATGAAAAACAGTATCAAGTTACTTTTGAAGGGACGACAGTTTCAAAACAGTTCACAATATTGCTTGGAAGTCACATGCTTCAAAAGAAGGAAAAAAATGCAAGAGCTCCAACTGTAACTTGAGTCACTCAGATTTTGACTATCTCTTTTTTTTCAGAAGCAAAGCCTCTCACCAACTATTTAGCACAGACCTGGGCATTTTACTGCCCGTGGACCATATCTGGCCTTTTGGCTGTCCCTGTCGTGTTTGTGGCATCAGTGGCGTCAGCAGGGGGTGGGGGGCATCAGCAAGAGGAGCAAAGTGGCATCATTGGCAGGAGGCAGGGCGGCAGTGACCCTCCACAACAGTTGCTCATGTGACCTCTTGGGAAAATTAACTGCCCATTCCTGATTTAGCATATAGCCATATAGTATGCAGGACTTTCACATTTTAATTTATATTGTTAACATCCTAATCCTATTAGTATGGCAATACATTACTTGTTCTTTAAGAAGAGATATTTGAGATACTTTGCAGTTCTCCAGTGCACATGTGGAACCAAGCTGTTTATGTCACATCCTTCCTGTATAACCAAATTGTTAAAAATAATGATGTACCCTCTTCTCAGATGAACCTTGTGAACACACAGAATTCTCATATGTGTTTAAAAAGTACAGGATGCAAATATAGCTGGATAGATACTAAACTGGTATTTAAATGTTAATTTTGCTTTCCAATTTACTATGCATCTTTTTTTAGTATAATTTTCTTGTATTGCACAATTGTATCAGTGTTGGTCAATTATAGCCATTCAACATCATGCCAAAATTACAGTAATGAGGACAGACTTTACATCTCTTTAGCATTGATTGGTTGACACTACATAATATTATAAGTAATCAATTGGAAATAAAGTCGGTATACCTTTTTATACTAAATAATACTTTCTGATGCCACTTTATTGAGTAGTGTCTCTCCATTAAAGACCAAAAGTTTTGGGAAATAAAGCAAGTGGGAAAAAAATCACGAAGAACGCTTGATTTCAAGCCAAACTAGCAGATTCTTCCAGCAATAAACAATAAAGAATTGGAAGCATCCACAGAGCTGGATGTAAATAACCAATTTCCAAAGTGTGACAAAGTTTGTGGTTTCCAGGCTTCCATGTTTATGAGCCCCATTTGATATTGCCAATGGGCAAATATGACTACTGTATGAAAACACTGGAAGGCAATGATTGTTTATCATTATTTTTGGTTTATGTCCATACTTTGCATATTGGATTTTACTTTTCAATTATCTCCATTAAAACCAGAATTGCGTATTCCAGAGGGTGTTTCCTATGCCAATGCAGTATTTTTCTAGAACAAGTTAGTTGTGGGTTTGTAGATGCAAACATTAGGCCTGGCACCAATATGCAGTACTTTGATAAAGCAATTCAAGTCTTACAGAGCCTTGACATCACTGATAAGTCCTTATTACTGACCCATAGGATTAACCCTAACCTTAGCTCTCTGGGACATTGTGCAAATGTAATGGCAGACAAATCCCAAACAGAGGATACTGATAAGTGTTTGAGGCACTACTTCTCGATGTGGTTGCCAGATATGTTTTCATGGGTGGTCCTGAGGACAGCGTATAAGAGTGTATAATGATATATTGAATGATGCCATAGTAACTTGTAGTTGGAAACTCTGTACAAGATTTGCTAAACTCTGTACAAGACTTGCTAATGTAGGAAACCTCCTCCTTCAAAGCAGATTTCATTGACCGCCTGTTTAAACCTGGAATTCTCTTTTTGGAACATAAATGGTGCATAACAAGCCACTACTATAATCCAAAAGTTCATGAACTGTCCCAAATAGGACCATATGAGCTTTTTCTTGAAAAACACTAGAAAGTTAGCCATGGAGGAACTGAGGAATTCTGGGAGTTGAAGTCAACATATCTTAAAGTTGCCAAGTTTGAAAAACATTGGTTTATGTCTCCAGCACGTGAAACACTCATAGTTAAGTGCTTTCTGGCAGCCTCCATCAGAGAACTATAACTGTAAAACATCCCTGAGTTGCTAAGACCCTACATTCTTCCCAAATAATCAAGCAAGTTGGCTATACTTCCAAGAGAGACTGGCTTAAGGGATCCATCCTGTTTAAAAAACCAGCAAACACTTTCCATTCAATAATGTTTTCCCCACATAGATGGAACCTGATTTTCTGCCATCTGCTGCTTTTGAAATGCAGTGCAAAACAAAAGGGTAGGATTCCTGGGTGAAAGTATAGTAACAGTGTGCAAATTGTGGGAGTTAATAAGCAGCACCAATATAGGAGATCCTTCTCTATTACAACTTATTTTTATTTTTTCCACCTTTTCTAGCAGCGTCTTGGAAAAAAGAACACTCCTGGAATATTCACCATTTTTCTAGTCAAGCTATTTCCTGCTACCTTCCTATATTTTATACTGTGGATTTCAACACATTCAATATATGAAGACAGCAGGTAATTTATCTCAACTGCCAAACATCCCAATGCACTCTGTAATAAAATGACTTATTACAAAAATTCCATTTTCTTTTGCTTTGACAGTAGCCTTTCTGGAAGATATTGCCACAATTGATATATTACTAACAGAAATAGCAATTTCCCTTGAGTTCAACTGTCATTCTGACTGTTTTCAGGCCTCTTTGCAACCATATTCAGAAATATTTCTTTCTTTTCCTCTCATCACATCTTTCTAAAGAGACCATATGAAGCCTGCCATTTAAGCTGATCTCTCTATTTTCATAGATAAGGGATCTTTTGGAAACAGACTCAGCAGTACAAGTTACCATTTTCCTTAGTTTGTTCAAAGTGCCAGTGTTATGTCCATAAGCTCTAAAATAAAATAACTTGCAAATATTTGGTCCTACAGTAATCTATATTCTACATCTGATATTATGAAGGATAAATGTCCTCTGTTTGAGAGATCTTCCAGTTGGATATGCAGTCAATTAGCTGGGTGGGATGAACAGCCCTTGTAGGGGAGATGAGCGGCATAGAAATAAATAAAATAAATACAATCTGATATTCCCGAGGGCTACTGGTGCTGAACCTATGTAGAAATGCTGCTTCAGAAATAGCCATTTCTGCTCTTGTTGGAGAATATTCTTGGTTTGCCACACTTCATGGGTCACGTTAGAGCAGGGGTGTCCAACCTTGACAACTTTAAGACCTGTTGACTTTAACTCCCAGAATTCCCCAGCCACCCATGGGGATTCTGGGAGTTGAAAGTTGCCAAGTCTTAAAGTTGCCAAAGTTGGACATCCCTGCATTAGAGCTGCATTCTAGCCTAGCTAAAGGAATCCAGGTATAGAACTGCTAGCCCAGTGGGACAGCATGAGAAACCAGAAGGCATCAGAAATTTGCCGTGGGAAATTAAAGGTACACATAGAGTTACCATATTTCTGACTGGCAGTTGGAAAGAAGAACAAATGGGGGAAAGGAGAAGAAGCTGCCTGTTTAATATTTGCATTTATATTCACAGGAGAGGAAAGGATTACAAGTGAGTAGGCAGGAACATAATGGGGAATACATCTTGAGAGGAATGTACTAAGGCCAGTTAGGAGGCAAAAGCCTTCAGCACCTAACTGATTAAATTTCAGGCAGCAGTCCAAGCTAGGAAGAGGTTACTAATCAACTAATTAAGGTCACAGAACAGACCTCTTATTCTGGGAGTGCTACACCACAGAGAAAAATGGCTCAGGAAAATATAAGCTTGTTAAATACTCAAAAATTTAGATAAGATTTGCTTTCAAGGCTATGCCTTCAGAGAAGATGAGGATATGTCCTTCTTTTGCCAGATGTCTGATAACCCTGGATGCACAGGAACATATACTATTTTGTTTTGAAAACAAAGCCTGAAGAGATGTATAGTTCTGGACCTGAGTAAGATTAAGTAGTCAGAAATGGTCTAGCAACTGATGGGCTGGTTTTGTTCTGTGCTTAGCAAGAGCAGAAAGCTGGCTTGAATGGTAAGCATTGATTCGGGGTTCTCCACAAGCTCTAGTCGCACAAAAATATTATCATGCCTATGTGCGTGTAAGGTCCAGTTTTCCAAACAAATCTAAAAATAGTTAAAACAATTCAGCTCAGCCCCAGGTGTTTTTTTAATTTTGATTCAGCAGAGTTGGAAGATGGAAAGAGTTAGTCATCTGGAAGAGTTTATAGTTCAGAAATATATTCAGGTGTACACGATCAAACTCAGAGATGTGTAACTTTCAATATTCAAAGTGATCTCAGCCTAAGCAACTTTTTGCAGACTTGCTTCTTATTGCATTTATCTATGGCTATCTGTTTTATGTTGATTTTTTTTTTTTTGCTGTTCCAGTCCTTGATTATTGCTTGCCTTGGATTATACTCAGGAGAAA